CTTGTTGCTATGATAACAGAACTCTAATGTATTTACTATTAACGTTTACAGATCATAGTAATACTCCCATTTAATACTTCATCTGGATATATACAGCTTGAACTATAATAATTATGTTCGGAATTATTAACGACTTATAATTGTGGATTATTAGACCAAATGAAACTCGGACACACCAATTCTTGACAGTTTAAGTAATGTCGAGTAATCGTATGTGTGGTAGTAGTATCCGTATTAGTAGTAGCAGTAGTGGTAATATTCATGTTATTATTATTACTGTTAGTAATGGTAGTAGTAGTAGTGGTAGTAGTGGTAGTAGTAGTAGTGGTAGTAGTAGTAGTAGTAGTAGTAGTAGTAGTAGTGGTAGTGGTAGTAGTAGTAGTGGTTGTAGTAGTGGTAATATTAGTAGTAGTGATAGTAGTAATAGGAGTAGTATTAGTAGTAGTAGTAGTGGTATTAGTAATAATAGTAGTAATAGTAGTAGTGGTAGTAGTAGTAGTAGTAGTAGTAGTAGTGATATTAGTAATAGTAGTAGTAATAGTAGTAGTGGTGGTAGTAGTAGCTGTAGTAGTACTAGTAGTAGTAGTAGTAGTAGTCACAGTCGTAGGTGTAGTAGTAATATTAAAAGACTGACCACGATTCTCTCAATATTCAATTATCATCCAACTCTACTGAAACTATTTCGTTATTTACGTTTAGATATTTTACTGTCTGTGAACTTTCGTACTTAACAGACTAAAATCTTATTAAGAGTTTGACATTATCTATCAAACATCGGTATTGATAAAACATCTTAAAACAAAATTAACTCATTATATTCTCATATCTTTTGTGAATGTAATCAGAATGATACATTGTTTGTCCACGTGATTTTGTATAAAATTGAAGATTTTGTATACTACCGTAGACATTGATGAGGTGATTTGTCATACGAATCATATGAAGTTTTCTCTCAAACATCCGTACCGCTAAAACATCTAAAAACGAAAACAACTCATTATATTCTCTTATCTTTTGTAAATATGATAAGGATAATTTGGTGTAAAATTAAGATCTTGGTATCTAACTGCAGGTAATGATGAGGTGATTTGCCTGAACGAGGCGATAAAATTTATTCTGATTAATTATAGATTAAAATCAAACATAAATTTTGGTAGTTTGATTTTTGAATTGACTTGACAAAAAGAATAATGATTGAGTTTATCAAACAATGCTGAATGTAGATAGCTAAGAATTGTTTCTTAAATGAACATTTACCGAGGAATGTTTTTAACATTCATTCAACATAGAATATAGATTCGATGGTATGTTTTTATTTATGGGCATATTAAAAGTTAGATTGATAACATGAAAATGGTTTACTGTAAGGATTTATTATTGTCAGTATTCTTGCTACGTCCACGCTAAGACCTAGTCCTCCGTCAATGGTCGGGTTTTGTAGTTAATGAAGAGGTGTTTTAGACAAAGTATAAAATATGGATGATGACTAGATGGATCCTGTACAAGTCAGATACGATCGTCGTTTAATCTAACATAGAACAACTTTCTTGATTGTAACTAGGCGTTCAACATAGTTGATAGGAAAACTTCAAGGGATTTTTTCGACGGCATGACACACCTCAGGTATTTATCACTGTCATACAGAACTCTGTCGAAGGATTGAATTGCAAAATGGTGCATAGTAGGCCGCTCACGAAAGTTCTTTAAGTGATGGATGGTGTCAGATAAGGCTATCTTCTTGCAACGATCTTCATTCTTCCAGCTGTTGACTGAATTATGAAGATCAGTGCAACTCAGGAACAACACAGCATATAATGGATAGATTAAATTCAGATGGATAATTGGTTATTTGGGAATGACTTAGATCGTCTATTGCACACGCCAACAGATGCGAGCAAAAACAGCTAGTAAGTGATCGGCTTCCTCAGTACAAGTCCTCAGCATCCACAAGACAAAGAACCTAAGATACAATGCAGAAGGCATCAGACAAATCATACCTGATCGCGAAACTCTCGAGGAGTTAGAAGCCTCTAAGTATCTGGGCAGCATTACTGATAAATGAGGGGTACCTGATGCAGATATAAAGACGCGAATTAAAGAGTCAAAGGTGGGATTCTTGCAACCAAAGAACACCTGGAACCCGACAGAACTGTCGTTGAACACCAAAGTCAGACTTTTGAATGCTAACGTAAAAACGGTCCTAGTATGCAGTGCTGATATTCAAAGAACTACCACAATTGTTATCAAAAATTGCAGGCAATTGTAAAAAGCTTTTTACGCTATTTGTTACAGTTCCATCACTCAAAAACTTTCAGCAGTATCCCGGCCTAGTAGACAGTGGTCAAGGAATTAAGTGAAAAAGACGCTGAGTGTAGTATTTACACTAAATGATGATTCTTTTGTGCCGGATTTTGTGCTTATTACAAATTACAAATATAAGACATTTATTTGTGCTCATTTAGCTTTTCTGCCTTAAATTGAAGTGCTTTAGTAATTCATAGTTAGCATATCAATTTGAATGCTTCTAATTATTGTAATAGGACATTCTTCACGGAAAACGTTAAATTGGATCGTATAGCAAGCCTTGAATAAAAACCTGCGGTTACTGTACTGATTGATGATCGCTTGGTACTTGACTAGGTGCTAACTGTAAATTCTAAATATAGTACGTTCTTCAATACCCATCTAGCTCTGCTTGTCTCAAGTTGGATTACTTCGGGAATCCTTGGTTAGCGAATAGATTCAAATACTATTAATTACTGTAAAATCCCGAAGGCCATGGGGAGATATGCAGGGTGAACGACACAATGCTCCATCAATCGCAAGCAGATATGAATACCACGAACGCTACTTGCAAATAACAGACAAGAACAAGACAAGAACAGAATTACTTGATGATCCCTAGCTGGCTGCTCATGCTCCTAGAGTGGTGAGTGGCTTAAGGTATGATAAGACGATATCAAATAAAAACGTACAAGGCGTAGAACTGTGGATTTGTAGAATTATGCCCTACTATAATATTAGTACTGCTCTAATAATAGACCTAATCCTGAAATTGTAGATTTACCATGATATGACTGTCTAGTCTATAAGATCTTACGTGGAAATTACATCATCGTCTACACCAACTCATTGCATCGTAACAATTACCAATACATGATATAGAACAATCTTAGGCTAGAGATGGAACAATATATACTTTGTGTTGTTACAGTTCTGGAGTGACTGTTAAGGCACAGCGCAACACTACCTCCTCTTTTGTGCACACCGTCATGTCAAAAAGTGTCCACTTTTACATCCATGATGTTGGACAAGAGACATGTTTCAGTAAGAAAAATAGTCTCCGGCTCTAGCTAAAACGGCAGATTTATAATATTTTCTGATTCATCCCTTAATCCCCTTACGTTATTATATGGCTTTTGATGGTTTGCCTCATCACCTGATGTTCTCCCACGGCAGTGTTTGTCTTCGGAATTAAAAAACGTTCTATTGTCTGAAGTATCTAGTCGGTTGTGTAGGAACTAGCCACTGCAGGCTCTTTGCCAGTATAGCGTGACCCATTGGTGGAATCGTGAACTCTGTGTCTTGTATTGTGGGTTATTGATCGAGATCGTCTGACGCGAAACTGTTTTGTATTCTGGTTTTCTGATATTTTCTTAACATGATGTGCCGGCTCTCACAACATCTTGGATGGGAGTGTCCACCCTCCAACTTTTACCAGGAATGAAGAGTCTCGCGTAGATCCTCTCGACTTCTGAATTTCACAGTTATGAGACGCGAAAATTTGATGGTCGTGAGGTTCAACGAACAAAGTAATCTAAAAACCAACAAACGAAGGTCAAGGCTTCGTCACAACTAACTTCACTGTTGCTTTTCATGTCTGTGAGCTTCATCCGGAAAACAACGCCTTAGCGTCGGCACCTTACAACCCACCAGACTGGCTGGTTCTTCAGTGTTTATTTGTGATCTTGCAACAACATCTCTTACAGTGGTAGTTCTTGATGGTCAATTAGCGGAACCACGCTCCGATGTTGTCGGGCCAGAATTACCTGGAATGAGTGTGGCGTAAGTCTTGATCTTAAGTAACCTAGGAATATGTTCGGTCACGATGAATTAAAGAATGGAAGTGAACGAGAGGAAGAAATGTCTCCAGAAATACATAATATATCAAAAATCAAAGAAATGATACGCAAAGTTCCAAAATGGAACAGATTCACAGGTAAACCAGATCACGTTGAGCTCACTACTAAAGATGCCACAAGTATTTGGAGTTTGACAACACCTTAATTAGTAAAACCTATAACTGGATCGTGCCAACCTAGTGTAATCAGAAGTCAGAGATGGAGAGGTTCGAAAATATATTTGATAGGCTATCGACATATCGAGAAATAACTGATCTAGACTGGCTAGCAGTTGTAGAAGAAGTTGAGAACAGCGTACCCACTCGTGATCTGGTGCAGATGCACGACCGAGTCCATTTAAACCAATGAGGCCATCATCAAATTTCGAAGACTTACAGAGCTATTGGTTATGGGGATTTATTTACCGCTAAATACTGTTATCATTGCCACACATCAGTAACTATATCCTAATTTTTTCACTACTATCTCCCGTTTTATTCTTAAGCTTCGTTCTCATACTGTATGAATCGACAGTTAAGTAAGGTTTATTTATTAACTGATTTGGTGGAACAAAATCTTCTTTTAGCCCTCGAGTTGTCACTATTACTTTCATAATTGCAAACAACTGACCGCTTGGATGGTAAACTGACGACTACGTGTATCAGGATGGTTTTCAGATGTTGGTTATTATAAATTCTTCTCCCAGGTAAGTTGACAAAAATTCAACACGTACGTGAAATTAGGGCTCACAAAATAGTGTAATACGTACAAAATGTGACTTTTCGCCTGAACAATGAAAAATCGTGATATTTGCACATCAGATTACGCTTGTTTGAACTTGTTTATTATGCCTGAAACCGATCATCACCAACTAGCAATGTAACAGCGCTGTTTTAGAAACCATGGATATAAAGACAAGAGCAATTGAGTACTTTTCCAACAACAATATTTTGAAAGAACTTGAGAATGCTTTACAACTTATGTTCCAGGAGAATGCATCAGATCATTCAGGCTACTTAGTAACCACGGTTGACTGACTAACATTTTCCAGAGCAAGTATTTCGAAAAGATTTCCCTTACTCCGAAAGTTGTCAGCATCACAGTGGACAGAAACTATTCATATATTGGCACTTTTTCCAGTTCTTTGAGTGTATTCACACTGTGGCGAACAAATACTGAGGTTTTTTTATTATTTTAGTAGTTTAATTTACTGAAGGTTACCACAAGGCTAAACTATGTTTATGGATGCTGTTATTGTTTGCCCTATGGAAACATTTTAAATGAATCAACACCCACTGAATTCTCAGTTTGCATAGAAGCAGTCGTGGATTTACTGAATAATTGCCTATGGTCACCAGCAGAGATGATTGAAATTGATAAATATATCAGGTAATAACTTTTTTTGTAGGTTTTTTCCATTCTGTCGAATACATGCTTTCTTATCCTCACGATGCAGCAAGTATTCTCAGGGCTACAAATCGTCAAGGGAACAGTTGTATTTGAACGTTTGTAGCACATCTTTGTGATCACGAGCATACATGATTTGTCATAACCTTTGGTGAACTGAATTATTCTGATCTTTCTTCTTTTCTAATACCTGTTATTTAGTCCTCTTTAATTGTTTAAGTGTAACTACAAGCACTCTATATGTATATTTGTATGCTAGCACGTACGTATCTGTACACTTGCTCGTACCTCTCGAGCTTATAAATGTTGTCATTTTCTGTTTGATAATAATCGGTGCATCGACCTCTTTTCATCCGTCATCTTAAAGTCCGTATGGTCAAGTTTGTTCATGAAATAAGTCCGTACAACTTAATTGAAATTGGGCTTTTTGTTATTACCGTAGACTAAGTGCGTTACCCTAAGTAGAATATACGAAATCAAATGAATAATTTATGTTCATAGCCCGTTTATCCGCTTGTTAAAAAGTAACATACAAGCGACAAATGTTTACCGTTTTAGCACCTGGTTTTCTATTCATTATAATCATTTCAACACTTAGTAATATCATTATTTTTGGACATCCAATCATGTCAGCCATCATTTCTTGCCGTACTTTTGAAACGGAGATAAATACTGTTAATATATCGTACGTCTGTGATTTCACTCCCGATTACGAAATCAGCATTTAGCTAAAGCCTAATCCAACTTCAAAGGGAATACATCTCAAATAATACCTAATAATTGTCAAAAGTAACTATTCATTCCATTTACGGTACCTTACTATGATCACAAATAATAGAAAGTATTGAACAGATGAGTTTAATCCATATTCAACACAATATATTGCCTTAAACCACCATCCATAATGTAAACCATAAGTACAACAGCAAGGACAAAGAACCTCTGATGTTCATATTTTATACTCTTGAAATGTATTACAAATATTACCAGAACAACGTCTATTTCTTAAGCTATCAGCATCAAATGCTAACTAGTGTGTTTATTGGATGAATAAGTACAGAATATCTTTGTCTGTTGACTTTTTCTAGGCTGTCTATACTAAGAAATAGTTTGCAACTCGTCAAAAATCAGTTCAGACGTTTTTAAATCTAAACTACATGAATATATATATTGCTCTTAAAATCGTCTTCACATTATTTTAACTACATAAAAAAATCTAAATAGAATGAGAACAAAACCATAGTGGATATGAGTAAATGTGTATTGATATATGAAAATGAAACCTGTCCAAGTTTTACTTGAAAAAAATTGCGATTGCTTATGTATTTTATCACAAATAAACATTGGTTGAATATATGACAGTAAAACAATAGACTTTTTTAAAAAAGCTCTATGTTGATGATATCTGTCTTTTATATAAAATGTGATATATGCCGCTACTCATTATTCTGACAAAAATGTATCAATCTTTTTTGTGATTGAGTTTTGGCACAAGAGAATGATTTCAGGTTTTTGAAGACACATAATATCATTAACCTCAGTCATTCGACTTTGATAATCGTAGGAAATATGTTAGACCACTGAAGATCAACATATTTTGATGGCATATGATCGACATTGTCTTGAAGGAGTAGATTTGTCACTTGCCTTCTACCAAACAATCATTTCATTAATTGTATGTTAGAAATGATTTAGAATTTAATTAAATGTATATCATACAAAATGAAATCTATTCGTTTCTTTTATTTACATGATTATTGTACTAAAATGTTAAAATATAATCTTCTGCTTATGATTTAGAAACTTCTACAGTGAATATAGAAAGCAATTGAATAAAATGCAAACGGATGAAAGTGAAAAGGAAATAGAAGTTATTGGTTCAAAAGAAGTTCCATTGAAGTCTACATCAGCACAAAATGCAAAGTAGCTTTGAAAATAGTTGTATTCTCTTCTTTGTTGTTGATGTAATGTTATGTGAATATGGATCTTGGTAAATGATTAAACAAAGTATTAAATCTTATAAGCAAAGATAGATAGTGGCTAGCAATGAAATTCAAGATGCACATTTCGTCCTATTTTGGACTTGTCAGCTGGATATACCTGCACCTTAGATTTGATGTTCACTCTGGGACTCGAACCAAGCATTGTCCGCTTCTGACACCATCATGTTATCCACTTAGCTACTGAACCCTGATAGTCACTATCAACTTTGCTTAATAAGCTTGTGACTTAGGGTAATACCACGGCAATACTCACAGTATGTACATATGACAATAAGGGACTGATCAATTGCAGTTCCTCAGTACATCTTATCTAAATTCGTTAATCATACATCACAGACAAACTTCTATGATATAATTGTTAGAGATGTTTTGTAATAATCAGTGAAACCAGATTAGAAATATTAAAGATCAGTTAAAACATTAGGATTCCAGCTAAAATTTACTGTTATAGACATACACTCTCTGTCTTTCCTTAAACTATGACATTAAAAATCGCTTCATATCTTTCTACGTACTAATTCTTTACTCCTGTATTATGTCCTTATATGCAATTATTCTTTTATATATTACCACCATTGAATTAACTACTTCTATGAATTCGGTGTTCATCTTGCTGTGCTAATGCGGTATGGCAACTTGGACCGATGCATATATGTGTCTGGTCCTACGTTGTAGCTGACTGACTGACTGATATTAAACACTCTGAAACAATTCATTTTACCTAACGGCAGCAAATACTTTTACCCATGAAAATAAGAAGTGAAGATCAGCTAAGATGTACTCCACAAGTTTACATTTTATACGGTAAACAACTGCAATATTTGGGTTTTATAATGATCACATTCATTTTGGTTAGTAACTGGAAAATTATTTAAACCTTTGTACAATTAAACTTCATAAAATTAAATATCAGCATGTCGGTTGCTAGATGTTTTGTAAAATTCTACAGTTAAAGATCCATATATCATTTTATTATAAAAAAATATTTTGTGGGGTAAAATGATTTGTAATATTTGGGTGGACCCCGAATGCCCTAGTACGGCCTGCTTCGTGATGCAGTTTAATGATTTCCTCAATGTATGTCCTATCCATTTCCATCGTCTTTTCCTAATTTCCTCTTCAGCTGGAAGCTGGTTTGTTCTCCCACACAGAAGGTTGTTCCTGATGGTATCCGGTCAATGGATGTTGAGTGTCTTGCGTAGACAGCTATTTATAAATACTTGTACGTTCTTGATGGTGGCTGTTGTAGTTCTCAAAGTTTCAGCTCCGTACAGTAGAACTGTTTTGACGTTCGTATTGCAAATTCTAACTTTGGTTTTGTGTGAAAGTTGTTTTGAGTTCCACATGTTCTTTAATTGAAGGAATGCGGCCCTCGTTTTGCCAATTTTAGCTTTTACATCTGCATCTGAACCTCCTTGTTCATTGATGATGCTTCTCAGGTATGTGAAGGATTCTACATTTTCCAGAGTTTCACCATCAAGAGTGGTTGAATTGCTGTTCTCCGTGTTGCATTTGAGGACCTTGGTTTTCCTCTTGTGTATGTTGAGGCCTACTGATGCAGAGACTGCTGCTACACTGGCTGTCTTTATCTGCATTTGTTCGTGTGTATGCGATAGGAGGACTAGGTCATCTACGAAGTCCAAATCGTCTAATTGGTTCTGAGTTGTCCATTGTATGCCGTATTTTTCTTCAGATGTCGAGGTCTTCAGAATTCAGTCGACCACCAGAAGAAACAGGAAGAGAGAGAGTAGACAGCCTTGTGTGACTCCGGTCCTTACTTGGAATGCATCTGTCAGCTGTCCTCCATGCACTACTTTGCACTGTAGTCCATCGTATGAGTTCCGGATAATGTTGACAATCTTCTCAGGAACTCCGTGGTGTCGAAGAAGTTTTCATAACGTTCTCCTATCTACACTGTCATATGCGTTTTCATAATCAATGAAGTTGATGTAGAGTGACGAGTTCCACTCAATTGATTGTTCGACGATGATCCGTAGTGTCGCAATCTGGTCTGTGCACGACCGGTCCTTACGGAATCCAGCTTGTTGATCTCGAAGTTGAGCGTCTACTGCGTCTTTCATCCTGTTCAGTAACACCCTGCTAAAGACTTTTCCTGGTATTGACAGTAGTGTAATGCCTCTGTAATTTTCACACTTGCTCAGATCTCCTTTCTTTGGAATCTTGATGAGGTGTCCTTCTTTCCAGTCCATTGGCACTTGTTCCTCCTCCCAAATCTTCTTGAATAGAAAATGAAGCATGCTTGTAGTTACTTCGATGTCTGACTTCAACGCTTCAGCTGGTATATTGTCAGGTCCTGCTGCTTTCCCGCTCTTGATTTGTCTGACGGCCATTCTGATTTCTTCAATCGTTGGTGGATTGACACCTATAGGAAGATCTGTGTGTGTTGCTTCGATTTCTGGTGGATTCATTGGAGCCGGCCTATTCAGGAGTTCCTCGAAGTACTCTGCCTATCTGTTCCGCCTGTAGCTCTTCTAGAGTTACTGCAGGTCTCAAGCCAGGGTAAATGAGGAGGGTTGAGCATGGGGTTAGCGTAGAAAACTAACTCTCTAAAAAACGCTAATCAGAAAATAGTGTACACAGACTCCAGTATTCTGTGGGAATAAATAGCGTACGAACCACTTGTTGGTCACCGGCTACCATAGGACTTCATCTCAAAGGCTCTGGATGTGGCTCCTTATGAAAACCATCTGCTTCGGCTTAGGCACCTGTGCAGTATCAGAGGCCTCACACAAATCCAATGAGATTTGTGTGGCGCATATGTATTTGATGCCGCCTTGTACCAATACTTATGTGTTCAAATAAATAAAATAACTAACGTATAATTACTTCAGATGCTACTTAATGACTTAAATGAGTAGTGTAGTACAAAATTAGAAAAAATAAAGAGGACAATATGGGCGAGACTATAATTTATGGATGATCTTTAGAGGAATCTTAAGTGACCTTGGGAAATATTAGGCAATCAGCAAAAATATATTATACCAAATCAAAGAAATAAAGTGGATACACTTCTTCTACATCGTTCAAAAACTTGTCAAGGTTTGAGGGAGGTTTTGAGGTTCTAAAATCATAATGCATATGGTAAAGGAAACCATCCATTTGGCTCCATCACAGTCGGCCTCTGGAACCATGACAACATTGCAAAAACTCTTTCAGACTAGAACACAGCTTCTATATGATTTTTGTACACTACAGTTATAAGGTACACAAAATGCCACCTGTTAATAACGACATGATGCACATAATCAAGTCTATGTAGGCTTCTGTAAGCTCTCCAACCATCCATATATATATATTATAGTACCCAACTGTGGTCAGTGTTACTGGTTCTTTTATTAATCAGTTCTCAAATTGTCTTAGTCTTAATCTGAATTAATCGAAAAAGTTCTTATTCTAGCAGACTTCTTCCTCGAAGTCAACATCCTCACGGTAGTTTACACAACATCCATAAATTATTTAATTATCACAATCATAAATAAATTAATTTCTTAATAGTTCCATTTATTATAACAGTACAATTATCATGTTCTGTCTAAAATCCATTGTAGATCGATAATAATACATGAGCTATCAAATACTTAAATAGAAGCTATGACTTAGAAACCCATGAAAACTCTTTGGATTTGTTCATTGATTTATAAAATTATAATCTTGCATAGTGATTAAACAAATTTTGAAAAAAAAGATTACAATCATCTAATTCAATCTTGTTTTTAAACTATATAAACATGTTTTATAGATTATCAATTAAGGTTTTGTTTTGTTTTGTTTTTCTTTTTTTTTTCTTTCTTTTTTTTTTTTTTTTCTTTCTTTCTTTCTTTAAATGGTTTATTTTAATATAGAAAAAAATCTACTAAAGATATCATTTCACTTCTTCCAAATCAAATAATCTCAATGGCACCATTTATTGCAACAGATTTAACTTGGTTATCTATTAGTTTACATTTAACAGCAATGAAATGTTCTAGACCAAAGATCAATTTTCAATTGTATATGAAGTCATTATATGATGAGGTAAATAGAAAATTTTGAAATAGTTTAGTTAATATTATTATTTAGTAGTTGAGTTCATGAGTCGATTGAAGTTAGACCATCATAAAAAACCTGGAAGCACTAGATGGTCATTTCGTCCTATGATGGTATTCCTTAGGACCGTACATTCACAATCTAGCCTCCTGGGATTCTAACCTAAGACCTATCGGTCTCGCTTTAGAACGCTTAACTTCTAGACCATTACTTACTTACGCCTGTTACTCCTAATGGAGCACAGGCCGCCGACCAGCATTCTTCAACCCACTCTATCCTGGGCCTTCTTTTCTAGTTCCATCCAATTCTTGTTCATTTTTCTCATATCTATCTCCATTTCCCGGCGTAATGTATTCTTTGGTCTTCCTCTCCTCCTTCGACCTTGAGGATTCCATATGAGGGCTTGTCTTGTGACGCAGTTGGGTGTTTTCCTCAATGTGTGTCCTATCCACTTCCAGCGCTTCTTCCTGATTTCTTCCTCCACTGGGATCTGATTTGTTCTCTCCCACAGTAGGTTGTTGCTTATAGTGTCCGGGACCATTGGATTGATTGAAGTTAAACACCATTGGATTCCGGTTCAGTTGTCTAAAAGTTAGATGTTCACATGCGATAGCGAAGATCCTGAGTGCGCATCCCTTTGGTGTGGAGTTGTAGATGTTGAGGAGTCCCGTGATATGACAAAACAGCCATCCAGTGCTTCCATGTTTTCCATGGTGGTCTTGCTTCAATTGATTCATGAACTCAACTATTAAATTACTATTATTATTTATAACAATTCGATTTAATCGTTTGTTGATATTTAGAACTAGAGTTTGATCAATCTTTGTTGACATAAATATATCCTGTACTGATTATCCTGATATAGATGATTACCTGAAAAGTTTTCAGAATAGGTTTTTCAAACATTATGTCAGAAGGGGTTTTGTGGAGATTTTATAAATTTCACTGGTTGATAGGTCCTGGGTTCCAATCTCGTGGGGTGCGGGATCGTGGATGCAAACTGCTGAGGAGTCCAATACTAGGACGAAACGCCGTCCAGTGCTTCCAGGTTTCAACCAGTGAAACATTATGTCGTTTGAAAAGACTTCATAACTGTATGAACTCAGTAGCTCAATGGATAATAACGTAATGATGTTTGATGCGAAAAGTGCTGGGATTGAGTTCCATTGTGAACATAAATATTGAGATCCGTAGGTTCCCAATCTGAGTCTATTGGACTCCATAACAACAAGATAACTGATTCTTAAAGCCTTTTTGTTAGTTGGCTTGTAGACGGCCTCTTTATTCCATTCTTCATCAAATCAGCAAGTAAAGATGACACAATTGAATATGAAGACTTACTATTAAAAACTAAACTTATGAAATTACAATGTGTGATTTTGTTACTAACTGAAATACCAAAATAATCGAGCTGTATTTTGAATGTAGCGCATTATGATTAGCCAAGAGCTAGTCAATAAAAAAAAATCTTAGATATTGCTTCGGTCTGTTAGAAAAAGACATTTCCATCCAACTAATTGTGAGGATGGCCCATGGGTCAGCCGAAGATATTTCATCCTATCGTCTTTTGGAAGAATATTCCAGAATCTCTGCGTGTAACTCATCGATTAGACAAATGCTTAAAACTTCAGTATGTGGATTGGAGGACTATGATGATGATTTAAATTTTTACTAAAAACTATAAATACCCTACGGTTCTGTACCTTAAATGACATTGCTTGGTATAGTATTCTTTTTGCTGTGTGTTCTTATTTGCGACTTGGAAGGTTCTACCATTCGAGTGCTCTAGTTGTACGCGGTATAATAAGAATCTAATTTCTAGATATAGCACTAATAAAGACACTATACTACAAATCATTGATTATGAATTGGTCATTTGTTGTCTTTAACAGAAAATATTCACCTGTAGACAAAATATACATCTTGGACTCTACTACTATCGACAATTCAAATTAATTAAACTTTTATATTAAGACGTTCCTCTCAGGATATACATATGACAATAGAGACAGTTTGGAATTTCAATAATTGGAAATTACACATCTATATTAATTCAGATAGACTCATATAAATGATCTTATTTCCGCGTAGTGAACGAGAACACATATGGGAACAATCGATTGTATTTGAATATAAAATTACAGAACATCTGAGAACCATACCGTAAATAGTTAATTCGTGAAATGTCAATCAATCGTCTCAGATTTCATTGTTCCTGCATTTCCATACCAATGGCTTTATGTTCCTGTTCTTGCCTTCTTGATTTTTTTGACCTTCTTCTGCCAGATATTCTATTCTTGACTAGCATTATATACTACTTATGTCGATATAAATAGCACAAACCACACTCGCGTCCCCCCCTCGTTTAAAGCAGTGTTTTTTTGCGGTGGTTCTGTTCACTGTATCAGTTTTTTCTTCTCTACAGTCTGTGTCTACCAAGCACTGACCTTTATAGTTCCGTCGACCTGCTTGGCCATCTAAATCCAATATCCACACGGCACCTAGGACGTTCAACATCTGCGCTCTAGCAACCTGTTGAGCCATCATCCTGTTCCCAGAATGTGTAGGCGCTACTATATGGTAAAGTAATCTTAATATCAAAGAATCGACTAAAGAAGATATTGTCGGAAATGTTTAATATTGAGAAGTTATAGCATTTAATTTTTAATCTCCTAATTATGATATCATTTCATAATCAACATAATATTGAAATAACTTTATTTTGTTCTATCCTTTATTATACATTAATCCAGGTGATTAAATCAATAATATCTGATAATCAGTTTAGTTCATCAATTCCTATCAACAAAATAACATGTCCAATCATTACAATACTGAATTGTCCTGGACGTATTGATTCAATACAATCAGGAAAATGTAAATTTCTACAAGAAATTCTTCTTATTCCTAAATCATATTTAACACCAAAAGAAGTATGTTTCAAATTATGTAAATAATTTCATGAATATACCAGTAGGTCCTGGGTTCGAATCTCGAAGGGGGTGAGGTCGTGGATGCGCACTGCTGAGGAGTCCCATAATAGGACGAAACGGCCGTCCAGTGCTTCCAGGTTTTCCATGGTGGTCTAGCTTCAACTGACTCATGATCTTAATCATTGAAATTACTACAATCTCCACAAAACCCCTTCTGATAATAATCAACATATGCTCACTAGTGACTGGCTTCAAGAGGTATATCCTGGAGTTCTAGTGAGAAGTAGTGACCAGTGGAGTTCAACCAGGTCTGTTGTGGGATAGTAACTCACTGAAGACAATGGTGGATGTGTCGCTCAATTTCGTGGATTAGTTGAAGTTAGACATTAACACCGTTGAATGCCGGCTCAGTGTTCTAATGGTTAAGTGCTCGCGCGCGAAGCCAGCAGGTCCTGGGTTCGAATCTCGAAGGGGGCGAAGTCGTGGATGCGCACTGCTGAGGAGTCCCATAATAGGACGAAACGGCCGTCCAGTGCTTCCAGGTTTTCCATGGTGGTCTAGCTTCAACTGACTCATGATCTTAATCATTAGAATTACTTTTATTATACACTGTCAATATTCAATTCATGTTTAGTAGGGAATATTATTGACAAATTGATAATGTTACTATGGATAGCCCTTTTGGAGCTTCTCTTAGTTAATGTATTTATTGTCATATATGGAAAATATGATGATGAGTAAACCCATTAACGAAGAGACTTTGTATAGAAGTTACATAGATGATATGACTAATTATGTGTGATAAAGATTTTTAGGTTTCACGGTTATTAGATAAACTCAATGGGGTTCAAAATGATATTGTGATGATTAATGAATTAGAAAATAATGGCTAATTGCTCTTTTAAGTTGAAGGGAGGATGATACTATAAAACGATCAGTTTATAGAAAACCAACTTGAACGGAGCAATATTTAATATTCCATAGTTTCTATCCACTGCAATACAAGTGAAGCTTAATTAAGTGTCTATTTAATAGGACTCAAAGAATTTGCACTGTTAACATGGTTCAAAAGGATGAAAAATTGCTGACTGATATATGGTTATCCAATAAAGTTTATTAATATGTACAAAAGTCAGTTAACGCCAAGACCTCTTGTCTCTTCGATACCAAAGAAAAAATCTTATATTTATCTACCATATATAGGTGAATTCAATAGTAGAATTTTAAGATAGAGATTAAAAGTAGTCATCGAGAAAATCTATTATGCTGCTCAATTGGTTATGAATGAAAAGTCTAAGCCAAGGATTCCAAATAGACCTAGACAATACATTGTAGCGGTAAATAAATCCTCAAAATCAATAGTTCTGTAAGCTTTCAACATTGGATGCTGACCACATTAGTTCTAATAGACTCACTTAGCTGAAGGCGCTCAGTCATGCATCCGCACGAGATCACGAATGGGAACGTCGTGCTCAACATCCCCTGCAATCGCCAGCAAGCCTAGATCAGTCGATCTTCAATATATTGATAACCTATCAAATACATCTTCGAACCATCTCGTTTCTGTCTTTTGATTTCAAGTGGTGCGTACGATTCATATTAAACGGTGTTACTGGTTAAAGCGTTGTCAAACTCCAAATATCTGTGGTATCTTCAACACAAATGATTATGTCACATCCCATTGTATTTACTCATTTATATGTTTGTGTGGACACACATACATAGAGACAAGTAATCAAACAATACAATCAAGGGTCATTGAACATGTGCCTAAATGACTTCAAACCCAATTAGTATCAAATGGTCCGATCAAGGTACGAGGTAGGAAACCATGTTCATCGATAGCGAATTATATGTAAATTTGAAACGGGGCACAAAATTGACATTAATACAGCTTTTTAAAACGTTGTCAAGGACAAATTTTCAAGTTTATTGAAACCTTGACTAGTTGTAAATTTAAAATCCCCCCCTTTGTCATGACCTTAACTGTGAATAATTCAAACAAAAAACTGTATAATTTTCATTGTTTTTTTTATTGATCTAGCTATTAGATAATCTGTTCATTATTAAAACAAAATTATCACAAACATTATTAAATAAACCAAATGTAAGTTGAAAAATAAAAAAATTGTTTTGTTTTACTAATAAGTTAATAGTTAATACCACAGTTAATATGTGATAATGGAGCATCAAGTGTTAATATTGATAAACCAGAACAAGCATTTGATTTATTAATAGAATTTCTAGAACAAATTCAATTGAAAAATCATTTCTATTTTGGTTTATTCATATCACCAAAAAGAATATTTGATACGGTTAGTTAAATATATTTATATTATTTATATATAATATACTTTATACAAATCTATATTTTAATAGTTCAAATCATGAGTCAATTGAAGCTAGACCACTATGGAAAACCTGGAAGCACTGGACGGCCGCTTCATTCTAGTATGGAAATCTCCAGCAGTGTGCATCCACGATCCCGCCCATCCTCGCGAGATTCGAACCCAGAATCTATCAGTTTCGTGCACGAACACTTACGATCTAGACCACTGAGCCGGCAACTAACGGTTTTATTGTCCATCTTCAACTAATCCACGAAATTGACTCACCGTTCACCATTGTTTTCAGTTAGTTAGTATCTCTCAACAGACCAGGTTGAACTCCACTGGTCACTGCTTCTTGCTATAACTTCAAGGAATACCTATTGAAGCCAGTCACTACTGAGCACATGATGATTATTATCGGAAGGGGTTTTTGTGTATATTATATTAATTCTAATAGTTGAGTTCAACTGAAGCTAGACAACCGTGAAAAACCTGGAAGCACTGAACGGCCGTTTCATCCAATTGTGGGACTTCTTAGCACTGCGCACCCATAATCCCGCCCCGCGACCTATCGGTCTCGCGCGCGAGCGTTTAACCTTTAGACCACTTAGAAGGTGGTGCAATGTTTGGTCAAAGTTATTCGTTGATTATCATTATTCTTTTTAACTTGGCTGACTCTATCTATTATGATTTTTTAATTTAGGAAATCTACCACGGAGTTAGCTACCCGTTTTCAAAGTAATGCCGTTTGATTTACAGTCATGATTCTCTAATCCTTTAGTGTTGATCGAATTCCATTGATCGAGTTGAAGTATTGTCACTAGCTTAAGTAACTCGATATATATTACACTATATACAGATTTTAAGTAGTTGGATAATAGACTGGTCCTAGGTCTCGTTCTAAGTGGTGGAGTATAGAGTAGTTGTTTATACATTTGGCCCTCAAACAACAGGTCTTATGTTCTTACACCCCTTTAATTACTCTGGTTAAAATTTTGCTAGCTTTCATACAAAAATTGTAGTTTAAAAATGAACACATAGTCCGGTAGTTAGTAAAAGGGTCAAATCACCAAACTTTCCGGACTACAAATAACCCCCCATGGTCAGTGGCCATTTAAAAACAAACTGAAGTTTAGATAAGAGTATACTCTGAGTCAAAATTGCTAGTAGCATAACTTCCGACCCTAAAATACATGAAGCAACCTTATATTACTCAGTTTAAACGTAGAAAGCGCACATCTGCCTAAGCTTGCAGTTTTATCGTAATGAATGTATACGATAAGTATGTACAGGGTTTTTATGAACTAGTGTAATGTAAAACAATTATGTAATATCCAGTTGTTGAATTCATTATGTACTTATAAATGAATGGCTTCAAGATGTTTTTCCTGGAGTTCTAGAGAAAAGTGGTAAACACTGAAGCTCAATCCGTGTCGGGTAGAGACAGTTATCTACTTCATACAATGGATGAATGTTTGCACAAGATCATAGATCGATTGAAGATAGATATTAATGTCGTTTTATGCCGGATCAGTAATTTAGAATTTAGGTGTTCGGTATCAACATACGAACTCCACAGGTATCAACAATAATAACATTTAAAATGAGATCAATCTATACACGAAACAACTAGTGATTAAATCTGTTATTCAAAAAAAGTTGAAATTCACTTGGTGTTGTTTGCTTGTATCATCTTATTGTTGTTTAGAACTGAATTTGATCAGTCTCTTATTGTCATATGTGCATCCTGTGAGGATTGCTTCGATAATACTATTTATTCACAAGCATTCTAAACAAAGATGGATGGTGGTTACCAGTGGGATACAGGATACGTGTTTCGTCCTATTTGGGACTCGTCAGCTAGATGTACCTGCTGATATATCTGAGCTCGGAATATTGATGTCATACTATAACGAAATGGTCGCCAATTGCTTCTATGTTTTCCATACTGATCCAACACTGATCATTTTGTCGTGTCAATGTAACTTGACTCTATACTGATAATATATATCTCGAAAAATAATCGATTTGTTTTGTGGTAGTGAAAGTATGATTGGTTAATCAATGTGGATAGACAGGCACTTAGCCTATAATCTATTCAATATGTGATTCCCTTTCTTGTCATTGTGATTTATTACTCTTAATTTCACCGAGATTGATTGATGGTAATTGTATTGAATTAAGTATTATCTATTCTTGCCCCCAAATGCTCTAGTACGGTCGAAGGTAAGGAGAGTCAGCTCTCCCTCTCGAAATACTGTCACATGGCCCCACGTGTATAAAGCCAATGCTAGGGAAGTCCTACTCACTGCCTTCTTACAACAAGGGTGTTGTTTACGAAATTAGGAGGACGAAAAGCGAATGTCCACCGTTTTAAACTGGTCAGTAAATATAGAAGATCCACTTAATGCAGTTGGAAAACCCTCATTCCAAACCAATGATGTACATGGGCTCCACGATCCTGAAGGAACTAATGGAGTATAAACCAATTATTGGTCACCGGCTATCATGTGACTGCATCTCTTGACATTGCTCCACTACCCTATCGATTAGACCTTTAGCCTAAAAGTTCAGGGTGTGGTTCTCTAATAAAACCACCTGTTTCGGTTTGGACACCCGGTCAGTATCCTAGCGCATATCTATTATTTGGTGCCTCCTTGTACCAATATTTATATTATCAGAAGGGGTTTTGTGGAGATTGTAGTAATTTCAATGATTAAGATCATGAGTCAGTTGAAGCTAGACCACCATGGAAAACCTGGAAGCACTGGACGGCCGTTTCGTCCTATTATGGGACTCCTCAGCAGTGCGCATCCACGACCTCGACCCCTGCGAGATTCGAACCCAGGACCTACTGGTTTCGCGCGCGAGCACTTAACCACTAAACCACTGGGCTGGCCGGTATCCAACGCTGTTAATGTCTAACTTCAACTAATCCACGAATAATAGGACGAAACGGCCGTCCAGTGCTTCCAGGTTTTCCATGGTGGTCTAGCTTCAATTTACTCATGTTCTTAATCATTGCAATATTTATATATTCAAATAAATAATAACATTTCTATTCTGGGTCATGAATCCTGGATTTAATTCAATGTGACTAGTTTTATTATCACAGTATACCAAAAAGAGAATGATATTATAAACCATCGTTTATACCATAATTTATTCTTTATTATTGAATAGGTAAAAGAACGTTATGAGATTATAACAGGAAGTTTAAAAACACCTGAAGAATTAGTCAATTATTATATTGACTTAATTGGAAGATACCCACAAATACGTTTACTAATTGATCCATTTAGAGCAGAAGTAAGTTATGATATGGTTATAGCATACTCTATATGATTTGTTCATTTCTTATATATAATTCAATAAATATATAAGCAAAGATGGATAGTGGCTAGCAGTGGAATCCAGTTTGACGCGCGTTTCGTCCTATTTGAGACTCGTCAGCTGGATGTACCTGCATCTCAGAGTTGATGTTCACTCTGGGACCCGAACCCAATATCGTTCACTTCAAACGCCATCGCGTTATCCACTTAGAGAGACTGATCAATTGCAGTCCTAAACATCAATTGGAAGATTCAAGTAAAACAATATCAAGTGAATTAAACTTCACCCCATTGCACAAGCAAGTGGCTATCAGGACTCAGTAGCGAAGTGGATAACGCGATGGCGTTTGAAGCGGACGGTACTGGATTTGAGTCCCAGAGTGAACATCAACTCTGAGATGCAGGTACATCCAGCTGACGAGTCCCAAATAGGACGAAACGCGCGTCAAACTGGATTCCACTGCTAGCCACTATCCATCTTTGCTTATAATGCTTGAAAATTGAGGCAATATCGAGGCAATACGCACAGTATGCACATATGCCAATAAGAGACTGATCAATTGCAGTCCTAAACATCAATGGGAAGATTCAAGTAAAACAATATCAAGTGAATCAATAAATATACTTTGAAGATAATCTTGATTGTATATTAACATTAATAGGTGATCATTTAAGAAATATTTAGTATGGTTATTTTGTTCTCGTTTAAAATACTTTATCAATCTTGATTATGATGATGAATACAGTGGTGTTGAGTGCTGTTAGTGGTAAGAAGGTGGTTATCACTTCCCGGTTGCCCACACCGTGAAAGGATTCTTATGGAAGTATCTGAAAAGGAAATTGAATTAGAGGTGGTCTTAGTGACCTGAGAGCGTGATTACAGTGCTCAAGCGACAAATGCTTGAGGTCGGTCACACACGACCCTTTTATGAATAATTCTCGTGTGAGTTCTGTACATGTTGAGACCTTACCACCGGAGACAGATATCCGTGGGATAAGGTGAGGTGTGCATTTTTATGGTCGACATTTTCTAAACTCAGCCCTCTTTATGAGAAAGCGGCATCGCTGTTATCCTAGTTGTTTGAAAGAAACACCTACTACTGTCACACCTCTGTACAGTCAGCAGTACAACTTCGCCTTCGGACCTTGGGTTTATTGCTTTTAGTCTTACCGTTCTTCAACCGACCTGTCTGGTATTGTAGGACCTTGATGAACGATTATTCCAGCTAGTATAGCTCAATCACTTCATCACGATAGGTAAGCCCGACCACTACGTCAAAGTAGCAACAATGGTCGGGCTTTATCAATCTATAGTACTAGTATGGTATATGCTACTTATAAAAACAGACATAAGTAGTATGTATCAGGAGTTAAAAAGGAAGATTATTACAGACAAAAGAAAAAACAAATTTAAATCACAATAGAAATGAAAGAACAATAAAGTTTGCAAGTTACAACTTAAACATTATTTGTAAATAATGTATCTAATTCATTGTTTTCATATTTAACAAATCCAGTATGATTTATGTCAACAGATATAAGTAGTATATAATACTATTTAGAAATAGAATACCTATTAGATGAAAGTTAGAAAAATTAGATTGAAGTGAACACGGCAACAAAGAGTATTTGTATTATCAGTTGAAGAAATGATAATGTTTAGGATAATTTAAAACAGTTAGTCCCTTTGATAAATTTCGATAATGCAATGAGAAGATGAAGTTTATCAGAATTATGTGATATATTAGCGCAATACATTTCGAACAATCTGATCACACATTATATACTTGTTAAGAGCATTTATATATAAAAAAATAAAAGGTCAACTAGACAGGTTAAGGGTAAGTCATGACAAAGGAAAAAAATATTAAAGCACACAAAAACAAATGTGATTACCACTCTGGATAATAAATCAGTATTACCAGGGTAGGTTTAGTGTAAGGACAAATTGTTTTTGAACACATAAAGGGGGTTTTAGTTTCCGTATAACCAAGGCTTCAATAAATCTTAGTATACGTCCTTGAAGGCTTTTGTATAACACTACAAATGCTGATTTAATGTCGACCTTATGACCCGTCTCAATCAAATGTTTCGCAATGGAGGATGATGTCTGTCTATCCTGTGATCTTATTTGACCATTGGAATCCATTTGTTTTTGCAACCATTTTGGTATGTGTTCGCCCACCCTTAATTGCAAATCACGATTGCTCCTCCCTATATACGTGTTTCCACACATACATGTAAATTGATAGACGCAATGGGATGTGATACAATCGCTTACGTGCTGTTTGGGCTTTTGGTGAAACATAAACCTTGTCTTTTCAATAATGACAAGTTGGGCTGCATAAAATGTCCGGTTGATGGCTAATTTAAGTCTCCGTTTCAACATGAGACTATTTGTGTCGCCTCTGAATGGCAACGTAATATAAACTCGCTTTTTGGGTGCCAGAAGCATCATAGGTCTAATCGTATTGCAACCCTTCCAGCGGTTTATGAACTTCAAGGGATAACCATTATTCACTAACGTATCAGTCAAGAGCTTCGTCTCGACTTCAACAGTATCACTAGTACAGATACGATTGATTCTACTGAATAAGCTCTTTAGGATAATTGATGAAGGATTGGCAAATGAAGTATTGAATATATAACTTTCATATGTCATGATAGAACTTTTTAATTTTTCATCAAATAATAAATTGATTACCCTCATCCTATATTCTTATTTATTACAAACACATTGGTAATCAATGTCCATAATTGTATACTATTCTTTGTAAAGGAATGATTATTTACTTATATGTTGATTAAATCTATAATTTAGGGAAATTTACACTAAGATGGTGGAGAAATTTGAACGCTTCATTTCTATCTAAAGTTTATGTTGATGATGTTGTTGAAAAGAATGATAAAAGCTTCATAACCAAACTATTCAGCTCAGAGAACAAAATATTTGTCTTAGATTTCATTGTTCTTGTTTTCTTTTCTTCAATCTTCTTAACCTTCTACTACTAGACAATTCACATTCCATTAAAGATATATATATATACTACTTATATCTGTTGATATCAGTAGCATATACCAAAATAACTGTTTATGAGTATTTATTGATACATGTGAAAATGAAACTTACTTAATAATCATTAAGATAGTGCAATACATATAAAGATCTAATCTATAAAACCAGATATATTTCATCGTGAATGAACTAAAAGATGGTACTGTTTATTAAATTTGAACTGTGAAACATTCAACCCTATTAGTTTTAGTTTAAAAAGCACAATTAACTAGTAAATATATCAATAGTTGAAATCATGAGTCGATTGAAGTTAGACCGTCATGGAAAACTTGAGTGTACTGGATAGTTGTTTCGTCCTATTGTGGGACTCGTCAGTAGTGTGTTGAGAATTCTATATTTTATCAAAAATATGTTGTTGAATAAAGCCACTAATAATAATAATACTAATAATAATCACTAATTAAATGTTGAATATTATGTTTGCATCTAATGTCCCACAATAATACGAAACGGTTATATCTATTGCTTCCAGGTTTTCAATGGTTGTCTAACTTGAATTGATTTATGACCTCAACTATTGAAATTACTATAATATCCACAAAACCCCTTCTGATACTAATAGATATATATCAGAAGAGATTTTTGTAGATATTATAGTAATTCAATAATTGAATTCATGAGTCCAGTTCTTAGAAGTTTCCCATGGTGGTCTAGCTTCGATTGACACATGAATTCAACTATTAAAATTTGTTGACGAGATTGGATGATTGGATAATTATTTATCCTGCTATACTATGTTTAGTAGCATTCCAGAATTTTCCAAAAACCCAAGGTCATCTAAAATACTATAAAAACCCTAGATTTTTCGTACATAAACATACCTTTAGAGTAAAGCGTTTCTTTCATATTTCGCACCTTTTCTCTCATGTTCAAGTTGTTGTGTAGATTTAACCTGAGGGGGAAGTTACTAGAAAACCTTAGAAACTGTATCTAGCGTTCAATTAAAAGACTTAATAGAGTCAAAGAGAAATGTGTAGAGATAGACACACACACACACAGAGAGAGTAAAACAGACTTACATAATACATAATTTATGGTATAATTTTTGTTACTATGCCTTTTTTTTTTCTTTTTTCAAAAATATCTTTATTTAGGATAAAGAATATTGGGAATTATTAAAAACACGTATTACATCACCACTCTTAATTACAACAAGTACAATGATTCAACCAGCTATTAAAGAGACAACTCTTAATCGATCCAATTCAATTATTACAAAAAATTCTAAAACAATAACAACATTATCATTTGATGAACAATTAAAATTTAGTATTCCAACTGGTTTAACTATTTATGATTTAATGAATAATTGTCAAGGCAACAAAATTCATCATTATAAGGATGATGTAAATCATGTTGACATAGATACTACTACTACTACTACTACTACTACTACTAATAATAATAATAATAATAATAATGATATAAGACAAATACAGAATGGTACATTACAATCTATATCATTATATAATACAGTAGATGAACAGGATCTGTGTTACTCATCTTGGTTATTTACTATGGATCCATGTTTAGATTGTGTTTTAATCACGGAAATTATTCAAGCAATTCATATATTACATTGTAAGTAATAAGTATGTATAAAGAAGTTGTATATTCATTTGTATTGGTTACTTCAATCTTTTCATTGATGTTTAGGATTGAAATCGATGAGTCTCTTATTGATAGATTTGGATTCTGTGTGAGGGCTGGGATACTGATTGGATGTTCAAACCAAAGCAGGTGGTTTTATTAGGGAGCTGAACGCTGAGCTTCAGGCCTAAAGGTCTAATCGACAAGTTAGTGGAGCAACGTCAGGAGATATAGTCCCATGGCAGTCGCTGATCAACAACTGGTTCATACGCTATTTGTTTCCTTAGGATCCTGAAGACCATGTACACCATTGATTTGGAATGAGGGTTTTTCAACTCCCCTAGGTGGATCTTCTTTATCCACCAATATTGCCTTAGATCACAGGCAAAATAATCAAGTGTATACATAGAGGGTTCATATAAACTACGAGACATGCAAGAATGAAACTATTGTGAATAGAGTTACTAATCGATATCAAGTGTCAGAGATATCAATCAGAATTCTAATTCTAATCTTGTCGATTCCATGTCTACCGTTTCTTCTATGGTCTGTTGTCCCAGACCAGACCAGCACCGTCGACCTTGAACCAACTCACTTAAACTCCTATCCCATCACCTTCCTCTATGCCATTCCCTGGGCTTCGAAATGTCAGTAACCAATTTCTATCATTTCTACATTTCAAATAGACTTGGATTTACATACAACTATGTATAAACAGGCAAAAAGTGTCTGAATAGTTGATTTACAATTAAGTAGTTATAATAAGTAGTAATAATAATAGTGGATCGATCAAACGGAATTCTATGATTCACACAATATTTATGCTTTATAATGTAGTTACTTTATAAATATACAATAAGAATACATCTAGTAATAGCTTGATAAATGGTTCGCATAGTTCCAGCTTCTTCCACTTGTAACGCAAAAAAAAAAAACAACACATTTTGATGGTCAATTAAACCTGGAAAATGAGATCTTACTGTTGTTCTGTTATTTAGTAAACGGTAGACTTCGGCCCCATGTCAGTAATTTGGACGTTAATGTCAATTGTCCTTCATTTTACATTAAAATGTATCTATGTAACTAACTAACTAACTAACGTTATTGTTATTTTAACAAATGAAAACTACCAACTGTTATTAAAAGTACAAAATCGGCAAGTTATATTCAGTTTGGATAATTTGCAAGTGATTGAAGATTGGCCAATGGATATGGTGAGTAATCGGTTTTGTTTTAAAACGCTAGTTTTATGTAATACACAAGTATTTTACTAAGATTATGAACCAATCTAAGTTAGATAACCATTGGATGCTTGTTAAAACTGGATAGTTGATTTTTTTTTCTAGTATAGAGCTCTTCATCAGTGTACATTCATGTTCTTTGAGTCAAGAATCGAATTCAGGACCTCAGTGCTAGCCATCAAACTTTTAACCCCGAGTTTATTGATCTGAGATCCAATGGTGTACAAATCTAACTTCAGTGAGCTTGAGACATTGCACGACTAGTTACTATTCTCTTCGATGGGTAACTTCCACACACACGACACGATTGAAATCTATTAGTAACGGATCAATGGTCGGTAAGTTAGTCGTTTACTTATGAGACCAAAGGTCTTATGTCCGATCTTTCGGTGTATAGGATTTGTGTGCACTATTGAATCATCTCATGCATAATCAAACACTGTCAATCAGTGCTCACAAGTTTCCAATGATTTTCTAACTTCGATCGATTCGTAATCTCAATAAAACTAAACAGTCTTTATAACCCCGTTTTGACAAGTATGTTATGTGGCCAAATTGAGATCTTTTCAAAAAAAATACTTGAAAGTGTACTAGCAAGACTAGTAGTCTGCGTTTTCAAATCAGAAAAGGTAGGAAAGTTCAAAGGAATTTTAGTGAAAGCTGTTCATTACTCATCAAATTATAGAGCCTGGTTCAAAAGAGAGTTAATTCAAGTCTTCACACCGAATCAAAATAATGAGATATAATTAAAGAGATGAATAGGGAGGAAGTAGATATAGTTGTGAAGGCGCGGACCGGAAATCAGAACAACCGTCAAACAAATTCAAGGTCAGAATTTTCAATACAAATGTCAACACAGTTCTACTGTATGGTGTGGAAACCTGGAGAACTACGAAAACCATCATCCAGAAGATACAAGTGTTTATTAACAGTTGCCTAAGCAAAATACTTCGGATCTGTTGGCCAGATACTATCAGCAAAAACCTACTATGAGAAAGAACAAACCAGGTTCCAGCGGAGGAAGAAATTAGAAAGAAGTGCTGAAAGTGGGTAGGACACACATTGAGGAAAGCACCCAACTGCGTCACAAGACAAGCCCTCATATGGAATCCTCAAGGCCAAATGAAAAGAGGAAGATCAAAGAGCACCTTACGTCGAGGAATGTAGACAGACATGAGAAAAGTGAACAAAAATTGGATAGAACTGGAAAGAAAGGCACAGGAGAGAGTGCATTGGAGAATACTAGTCGGCGGCCTATGCTCCATCGGGAGTAACGGGCGTAAGTAAGTTAGATATAGTTGTAGTAGCAGTAATAGTGAGAAAGACTAAACGTCGATAAAACAATTCAAAAAGTTAGAAAAATGTATGAAAGTGGTGGAAATCTAAATCTATAGGAAAGTTTAAGAATGAATGTATCTACGACACCATGATCGGTTCTAAGCCATGTCAAACATTATCTTCAGACACTCATCAAGGTTCACACACAGAGTTCGATCTTGGAGTTTGCAGCTACTAGGAATATTGTACCTTCACTTACCATTCCACCACAAAACTCAATAACATCCTTTATTTAGTTCCCGCATTTCATGTACCTAAATTAATAGTTGCTCTGGTTGTCAGAAGAAACATCAGCCCAGTGACTTCCGAAGGAACTCGACTTTCAGCATGAGGCGTCATAACTCTTCTAAATGAAGACCTTCTAACTCCCAGGGCAGAGTTTAAGTGTCTTGAACTATTTTTTTCTAGTTAGCGTTTTTCTTAGCGAGTTAGTTTTCTACGAGATGGGTCCGCTAACTCCTTGCCCAACCTTCCTCCTTTATATGCGCTTGGGATCGGCAATAGCTCCAGAGAAGCTTCAGGCCGTAACCTGATGGTTCCATTAATAGACAAGGAACTAAGAACAGTTTATATAAATGAGATTTATAACTACTATTTTAAACAATCACTTTTAGAAAGGAACGTATATTATCTAAAGTTTACTTAGAATAACGATTAGTGAATTGTATGTACACTGTTCTATATCATGAAGTCGTATTAAAGTGGTTAGATGCCAAAATAGTGGAATCATTAACTGTGTATTGATGATAGTATAGAATAACAAAACATCATAAAGCATAGACAGAATAAAAATATTTTCCTGAATAAACTAATATAAGACCAAATAGAGAGTGATTGTATCCACGCTGTTGAAACTGTTTCTCAGTTTTGTCACTAAACATTTGCAGTCATAGCAATATTGGGTAATCTATCTTTATCAATGTAAATCAATCAATCTAATAGTCAATCAATTTATAAATTGATTAATATCATGGATGAATAGTGGCTAACATTGAAACCTAAAACGTGTGTTACGTCCTATTCGGGACTCATCAACTAGATGTACTTAAATTAATGATCACTTTGGGACTCAAACCCAAGAACCGTTCACGTGATACATCCTATTTGGGATTCATCAACTAGATATACTTGCATCTCATAGTTGATGTTCACACCATGACTCGAACTTAGTAACGTTCACTTTATAACGTTATATTTGCTTATAACACTCATAACTTAAAGTAATATCAAATCATTCCATATTAGGATGCATATATACCAACCAATAAGAGACTGATTAATTACAGTTTCATGGATAAATTCTTTTTCTCATTTTATTCTATTCACATGTTTCATTATAAGTTCCCCTTTCTTTTGATTGATTGGTTTATCATTTAGGCAATTGGTTTAGGTATAGACTTTATCAAAATAACTGGATTGAATAGAATAGATCAAATGAATAAATTAATAACATGGTATAATTACTATCAGGATATGACTGAGAATTTAAAGGATTCAATGAATGAATGGAAGTTGTATGATACATCATTATTGGAAAATTCTTCTAATGTATCAATGTAATAAGTTAAGTAATTCATAATTTAACCTATACATATCATAATGATCATTTTTGTTAACAAACAAATAGTGTATAATGATAATGAATTGTCTTTTCTAAATACTACCATCCAATCAGTTATGAATAAACGCTGGGTCATCACCCAGTTTGTCAGGTGCTTCCTATAGGCCAAGTTGAAATTGGGCCACTAGTTTAGATGACTCGACATTGCATGAACTATGTTGAGATAAGATGGTGTTTGGAAGTAATCAACAGGAAACCCTGGACCTAAGTTTCATGCTACTTGGCACTTGTCAGTAAGGTGTACCTGTAATCTTGAGGGAACTGATGGCCATATTGCATCTTGGACGATAGCATTCAATTCGCACTAAGAAGGACCCTGACGCACATGATATTGATCACCCCCCAGTGATCAATTAATTGTGAATACATCTCAGTCCTATAGGAGGTCAGCCGCGGCCCGAATAGCTCAGTGATAACGTCTCTGACTGTGAAGTTGGGTGACACGGGATCGAGTTCGTCAGGCTGATTTTTTGTGAGACCTCCTTGTATGTGTTTTGATGGATTTGGATAATGTGATATGGGATATTAGGGTTAAAAACATTTGCATGTTAGTTAATAATGTGAGATGTGAATAGAACTAAGTGTGTGGATTGTTAGCTTTTTTTTCTTAAATGCAGTAAGGTTTAGGAATGGATGAACACGTTCAGCAGCTCATGTTTCTTTATTACTGGAAAAACTTATCTGAATTATCTTGATATCAATTGGACGGTCATAAAAAATAATCATGTACTTCTATCGCCGGTCATATTTGAAGTATTTGAAGTTCTAAGGGATTAGTTGATGGTATTTTAGTGTAGCTTAGATATTCTTTGTCACGAGTTATGGTTTCACGAACAGACTCTCCATTATGGAATGGATTATGATCTACACATTTTAGTCTGTAGACATAATTCTGTGTCAAAACAAAAAGGATATTATCTATTATTTGAACCAAAGTATTATGAAGAGTGTTTTATAGAATGCTTTAATTCTGTCTGATTTAAAGATACGTCGTGGTTCTTCTATTTGCCAGGTAGGTGTGGGAATGTGGTGTATGCAAGTTATGTCTGTCGACATAACTAATATGTAACGCCAGTTGGAAGTGAAAAACCCTGGCAGCAGAAGGCGCAAAGCTAACGGTGTTGGGGATAGTTGAGAGAAAGTTAGGGGCGGCTAAACCAAAACGTGGCATCAGTCAATAAAGTCACTAACTTCACTAGTTTTTGAGCCATATTAGTAGATGCAAACTATTTGGTTGGGATCCGCACGACTAATGTAACCAATGGTTGGAGGCTGTGTGTGACATGGCTCAGAACCGACCACAATGGTGTCGGTGTATACACTCGCTATCTGCCCTTAAACTATGAGATTAAAATCGCTTCATATATTTCCACATACAAAATCTTTCTTTTATATATTACCACCATTGAATTAACTACTTCTATGAATTCCGTGTTCACCTTGCTGTGCTAATGCGGTATGGCAACTTGGACCGATGCATATATGTGCCTGGTCCTACGTTGTAGCTGATTGAGGAACATTGATTTGAAGAGAATAGAAACGGAGATAGAAAGGAATTGTGGATTGGAAGAATCATACAGAATGTAAAGGACAAATGATAGGAATTTGTAAATAAAGTATTCAATTTATGGTTCTCAAATTTTAACAAGAGATTCTGTAATTTCATATCTGAATACAATCGGTCGTCCCAACATTCACAACAGTAGAATCAAAGTACTAAGACATGATATTGCATTCAGCATTCAAAAAGGCATTTCGTTTTAGCATATTCTTAAAAGTATCATCTGACGTAATGATCTTGATGATTAGTCTGAACAGATTTATAACGTAAGATACTTTTGGATTGAGTACTTGTGCTGTGTTGAGATCAATGTAATGATTTGAATGTGTTGATTTCCTGTAGATAGTAAGATTTACACTTCCATTTGAATTTATTTCCATTATTCATCAGTTAAAAAATTTTAGTTCACTGAATTGATTTTCAAAAGCGAATTTGATATGAACTGAGAAAGTTTTTTATTTTAGTAATTTAATCGTTGAATTCATGATTCAGTTAAAGCTAGACCACCATGGAAAACCCAGAAGCACTGTACAATTGTTTTGTCCTAATATGGAACTTTTCAGCAGTGCGCATCCACGATCCCGCATCGTGAGATTCGGACCCGGGACCTATCAGTCTCGTGTGCGAACGCTTAACCTTTAGACTACTGACGACAAAATCAAGCCACCGTCCACCATTGTCTTAAGTCAGTTGCTATCTTACAACTGACCCTGTTTGAAGTCCACCGGTCACGGCATCTCACTAGAACTCCAGGAAATACCTCTTTTGAGACAGTAACTGACTGATGACAATAATAGAATGGCGGCACAATTTCGTGGATTGGTTGAAGTTAGATATTAACATCGTTGTACGCCAGCTCAATGGTCTAGACGTTAAGCGTTCGCGCGCGAGGCCGATAGGTCCTGCGTTGGAACCTCGCGAGGTGGGACCATGGATGCGCACTGCTGAGGAATCCCACCATAGGACGAAACGGTCGTCCAGTGCTTTCAGGTTTTCCATGGTTATCTAACTTTAATTGACTCATAAATTCAACTAATAAAGTTTTTACTAACTAGAGGAACAAAATGATATCAAATACCAATAGATCTATCAATAGTACAACAAACAAATCAAACATATCGATTTAAATGGTAAATACGGCAATAATAATGATATCATCCAAATAATCTCATTAGCAAAGATGAAATTTAATACACTAAATAAACAACGTACTAAGATTCTATACTAAGCTAAATAGAAATGTCGGCTAACGAAATGTAAATATCCGTATGAGGCTTTGTGAAGATTATAGAATTTTCAAAGATTTTATTTCACTTGGGAGCACTGTACAGCCGTTCCACCCACATATATGACTCCTTAGCAATGAGCATCTACGACTCCGATGAAGATTTCAATATTAGAATGAAATGGTTGTCCAGTTCTTTCAATAGTGATGTAACTAATATCAGTTCATGATTTGAACTCTAACGAGTAAATCTAACTGCATTATTTATTTGACTTACGTAACATTCTACATAGTTACTGCGTAATTCATTCTGATTACACATAAGCTGTGCTCATTTGATGAAAATCAACAGTTTCGTGTGTAGTTGGTTTCCACCTTCTTTATAGTTGCTTTGATCAAGTGTAAGATTAACTCATTCAACAAGGTATTCAAGTGTAAGCTACACTTTTAGTATGAAGGCTAATGATACTATATGATCGCATAAATTGAATCAAGTGGAACAAGGGTTACGATTAAATTAGACTATGAATTTTCGAAGAATAGAACCCTTTCAAAACTGTTAACATTCTAATAGTAAACGTTTAGATCATGTTCAGTAAGAAATATGAATCTCATTATAACTTTTCACATCCAGATGTCACCAAAACTTTATTTTACGTGGTACGTATATACCATCAAAATGAGGTAATTGAGCACACTATCTTCAGAGCATTGTCTACAAATCGTAGATCTGTAGCGAGGTGTCGAGTCGCTATTGACTATGAACACCACTACAAGAAGACTACGAGCTAATTAACCAATAAGATCCCCGTAGGCCAATATCAGAAGGCAGATGATGGCTGTAGTCGAGATGTATTTGTTGGCGATCCCATGGTATTGAAAGAATACCGAGATCGTGCCAAAAGAGTACAAGCGTGGTTACTAAGCGTAACCGAATTCGTACAAGTTCAAAGTCAACGGGAGAGTGAGTGTGTAGTGGCTGTCATTAGCACAGTTAAACAAACGAGCACAGTAAAACAATCACTGGTACAATTGGTTATAATAATAATTGTTTTCATTGAACCAATCTCATTCTTTTGACAAAATTAGGTCACTATAGATCAAATGAGCAAACAATGCCAGGGTTAAATGAATAGGACTGTTTAAAGATGGTGAATCGATTAATGAAATTGTGAACTCTTATCGACTGAGGTGACTATCTGATGTAGGAAGGATTTGAATGTGACCGACTTGGTCTCGTGTGCTGTTACGGGTATGAGGGCTATTATCACTTCCCGGTTTCCCACACTGTGGAAGGGTATTTCTTGAGGAACCTGAAAAAGAAATCAGATTAGTGTTGGTCTCAACGACCTGGGAACGTGATCGCAGAGCCCAAGGGATAACTGCTTGAGGCCGGTCACGCACAGCCTTTTTGTGGGAGGTTTTAAATGTGTAAGCTCCGTCCCTCAAAGGGCCTTACCACCGGAGACGGAAATCCGTGAGGTAAGGTGAGGTGTGATATTTTTAGGGTCAACCTTTTCTAACCCTTTCCTCCCTTGTGAGAAGGCAGCATCGCTGAAAATGCTGGTTATCCGAGGGAAACACCTTAGTGCCGTCACACCCCTCTACAGTCAGCAGTACGACTTCTCCCTCAGAACTTGAGTTGCTGCTTTTAGTCTTACTGTCTTCCGATCGACCTGCCTGGCATGGTAGAACCTACAGGAACATATATTCCAGCCAATATAGCTCGGTTGGGTCATCACGATAGGTAAGCCCGACCACCGTGTCAACGTAGCAGCTAGGGACACGTCGTACACATTCCCAACCACCGACTGCCTCGACTTGCGATGTTCAATAGTATATGAGTAGGTTGGAAGAAAGCTAGGGGCGGCCAGAACAAAACATGGCACAAATCCATGAAGTCACTGACAAATGGACAGAGTCATGTTGATAGGTGTAGACTACCTGGTTGGAATCCGCGAGATAATAACAACCGATGGTTAGAGACTTTGAATGACATGGTTCAAAATTGTTTGCAATGGTGCGGGTGCATCCACTCTTTGTGTTCTCTTGAATTCTAATCTTCTGAATTCTTCATGTCCCTTTCTTTTTTTTCTCTTCCTAAGTTTATTTCACTGGATTATGCTCCTTGAATAACATCTTCAAACCCTAATGTTTCCGATTTCTGCTAATACTCTTACCACCTCTACCACTATGGGATTTGAATCGACAACTGCATCTCTGTGTTGATGTGGTATGATAACTCGAACTGATGTACGTATGTACGTACGTACGAAGTTCTACGTTTTTACTGACTGACTACCTGATGTGTAACATATTTCGAATAATCATCTATCTATGCTGAAGTACAGTATTAACTAGAGTAGGTTAAAGAAAAACGAAGACAGGCGGAGTAGTCCAAGACATGGTATCAATTCACAAAGTAATTGACATCGGATATGAGTCTTGATAGTAAATGTAAACTACCTGAAAGAATAAAATGACTTGTATTTAGTCGCAGTGCTGTAGGTGGATTCAGTTTTTATCTTTACTCTTAAGCCTTGAGTTTAAGTATTAATTCACAATCTTCATTTCGTCGACTTACCCACTATTTTCAAATTGTATTCGCTAATGTCTAAACTTTCTAACTATTACTAATACTACGAACATTGTGAGCCTTTAGCTATTCATTATGTTATCTTCAGTTAGTATGACCACTTAGACGAACGTTCTATGATAACTATTGTTCCTAGTGAAATTTCAAATTGATACAGGAGATTAATTCTAAGACAAATTTTAACTCAATAGTCAAAGCTATGTACCATTCAATCGGAAGTGGAACAAACAATGTCCTTTGGCAACAATTTGTGCTGCATACACGTACAAGCACTGAGGGCTTTCAAAATAACGCCGTGATTTAAAAACGCTAAATAGTGACTTAGTTTAAATAAAGCAAGAAGAGTGGAATAACATGAGTTCATAGTATTTCAATACTTTTCATTAGCTGTAAACGACCTAAATTTACACTAGTAATATTGTACAAAAATTTTTATATTCCGCATTAGATGGGGGATTGATTATGAATACAGTGGTCTTGAGTGCTGTTAGTGGTAAGAAGGTGGTTATCACTTCCCGGTTGCCCACACCGTGAAAGCGTTCTTATGGAGGTACCTAAACAGAGAATTGAATTAGAGGTGGTCTTAGTGACCTGAGAGCGTGATTACAGTGCTCAAGCGACAAATGATTGAGGTCGGTCACACACGACCCTTTTATGAATAATTCTCGTGTGAGTTCTGTACATGTTGAGACCTTACCACCGGAGACAGATATCCGTGGGATAAGGTGAGGTGTGCATTTTTATGGTCGACATTTTCTAAACCCAGCCCTCTTTGTAGGAAAGCAGCATCGCTGTTATCCTGGTTGTCTGAAGGAAACACCTTACTGCCAACACACCTCTGTACAGTCAGCAGTACGACTTCGCCTTCGGACTTTAGGTTTGGTGCTTTTAGTTTTGCCGCATTAGATGAGGTTTAGTCCAAGACGATACAAGAAACATACTTGACTCACAAATTAAGTTTGATGAGTATTTATATGTTGAGGCTGAAGTTGTTACAAGGAGGTCAGATTTAATTGTCTGGCGTTACAATATGCAATAGAGAAACTCATCAATGAGAGAGTTTAGTAATTCAGTAATGATGATTATCAAAGAGCAGCCATCTTTTCTTGCCGACCCTAAATTTAATTAATTTCTGGTTAGATGCGTAACAATGAACGTATATATTCACCACAATTAAGTCTCAACATACAGTATATCACATTGGTAATAAGTAGAAGGGTTGAAAATTCCTCGAAACTTTAACTAATATTGAGAATTGAGTTGATAGGAGATTTCAACAGTGATCAATAAGACTTCATTGATAATGTCACACTATTCACAAGGCCTGAATATCTTTAGTTTGGATACAATGTACGGTAGTATATAAGGACTTTAGAAGTGTAGTCTAAATTTTTACAAAGCGTTCTAACTGCATTCTACTACTTATAAGGTGTTTGACAAAATTTACTGCCGGTCTTCTCGAGATGTAGACATCTTTACTTAGTAAACCGCAGGTATAATTCAATCTGATTTGATGTGAATAGATTACACTGAATAATGTAAAAATCAGTACCGTATGTATCACTCGTTTACAGAAATATCCGAAATTAACCAACCGACAATACAGAAATGTTCAAGTGATTCATACCGTACAAATAGAAACTTTCCAATAGAGACTATTTAGACTATGTAATAGTATGAATCAAAAGTACACGAAAAAATTGCTTTCTTCTAATTGGTTAACATCTTTGAATGTTGATAATTACCAATGTTATCACTTTCTGTCATAATGTAGTAAATGAGAACACAGACGGGGACAATCAAATGCCCTGGTACGGCCGAGAGTGGGGAGAGTTCGCTCTCCCACCCAGATGCTCTCACATGGCCCCACGCGTATATAGCTTCTGATAGGGAAGTCCTACTCACTATCTTCTCGTGGTGAGGGTGTTGTTTACGAAATCGAGAAGACGGACAGCGAATGTCCGGTGCATTAAACGGGTTGGTGGACACGTAGAGGAGTTGGGAAACCCTAATTCCAAACCAATGGTGTACAATGTCTTCAGTATCCTGAGGGAACAAATGGCCTGTGAACCTATTGTTGGTCACCAACTACTATGGGACTGCATCTCCTTACGATGATACACTGCCTTATGAATTAGACCTTTGGGTCAAAGGCTCCGGGTGTGACCCCTAAGAAAACCACATACTTCGGTTTGAGCACTCAGGCAGTATCACAGCCCCCGCACAAATCAAATGAGATTGGTGTGGCGTATATGTATCTGGTGCCCCATTGTACCAATATGTATGTGTTCAAACAAAATAAGAACACAAAATTACAGAATATCATGGTAAAATATGAGATCCATACAGTAAATGCTTCATTCACAAAATACCTATCAATCATTAAAGAGGAAGAATTTATTTGTAAAATCTCAGCGAAAGAATTTGAAGTAAATCCAACGTTTTGCCTGGCAATTTGATCCAAGCTTTTTCAAGGAAAATATCAATCGTTCCAAAACTTCATTGTCCTATCATTTCCACACCAATCATTCTCTGTTGTCGTTTTCTTTTCATTTGATCTTTTTAACCTTCTACCGTTGAACATTTCCCCTTCGATTAATGATACATACTACTTATATCTGTCGATATTAGTACCATACACCAAACAACTAGTATTATTAGTACTGTTACAACTAATGTACTGAACGAGAACACAAATGTATCATAATTCAACATTACAGAATATCCCAGTAAAATCTGAAAACCATACAATAAACACTTCATTTACAAAATATAAATCAATTATCTCAAACCTCACTGTACCTTCATTTCCATATCAATCATTCACTGTACTCGTTTTCTTTTCTTCAATCTTCATAACCTTCTACCATAAGACATTTCACATATATACTACTTATATCTAACAATATCAGTAGTACATATCACAATATAACTGAATTATAAATAAACATTATAACTATATATTATCCATCAATATCTTTACCATTCAATATATAATAGAAAGATGAAATTGTTATAATCTTATTACATGTTAAAAAAATAAGATAAAATTACATTGAAAAGAACAAAAAATATTACCAAGAAGACAATTACGTAATAATAATAATAATAATAATAATAATAATAATAATAATAATAATAATAATAATAATAATAATAATAATAATAAAGACCTAAACAGTAACAAAAACCTGCCTATATTTATCGAATATCTTGAGCAGATAGAAGACGATAGAATATTTCCATGAAAGATAAAGAATTTGATGGAAATAATGGTTTATGCAGTAAATGATATTGGTTATACATTTCATTGAAATCAATTCTAGTTACCTAGATGGTATAAATAGAATTAGGTTATTTTTAATAAAAAAAGAAAAGAAAAGAAAAGAAAAAAGAAAAATAAACTTAATGGAATGCATGGAAAATGATCAAACGATAATGATATATCATCTGTTTGTTGGTGAGACTATAATTTATGAACGATCTTTACTTATTTACGCTAGTTACTCCTTGTGGATGAGCATAGGCCGCCTAATAGCACTCTCCATTCAACGCTATCCAGAGCAATCCTTTTCAGCTCTTTCATTCTTTTTATATCTGGTTCTGTTTAGTCGGTAAGTAATAACGTAGAACAATAGTTTGAGTTGTCATACCATATTAACACAGAGATGCAGTTGTCGATTCAAATCCCGTAGTGGTAGAGGAAGTAACAGTATAAGCAGTAATCGGAAACATTAGGGTTTGAAGATATTATTCAAGGAAATAAATTTGCCTGATGTAATTTGTTCTTTACCCTTCCTCTTTTCTGCTTCCCTTCAGAATTCCAAGTTAGCGCTCGCCGAATGATGGAAGCTGTTCTGTTTTCTCAGAGTAGGCTGTTACTGATGGTATCCGATCAATGGATGTTGAGCATCTTGCGAAGACAACTACTTGTAAATACTTGAACCTTCTTGATGATAGTTGTAGTAGTTCTTGTTTAAAAAAAAGACACCAACCAGATCAAGATGGACGACCTTGAAGATCTTCATCTACTTACTCAAGTTAAATGAGTGCTTTAAATTAGTGCAAGAAACTAGAATTAGGATTTACAGTTGAACGTCAGGTTTAGAAATTATATCTAATGTTTTCATCACAAACTCACATCAGCTATAATGTCGAAATGATATTTAGCCAAATGAATGGATGAATTTCGCGCGAAAATCTAAGACCTGTTATCTTAAATCTGATTGGTTCATCCATAAATGATAATCTCGCTGTTTATCATTCTTTCATATTAGTCAACAGATGATTAGAGAGATGCAAATTAGAGAATGTGAATAGGCCTACTTTACGAATAATAAGTTTACTTACTTACTTACGCCTCTTACTCCTAATGGAGCATAGGCCGCAAATAATCAGTTAATCAATATTTAATATAAGGTAGATAAAGATAAACAATAATAATGGCAATTTTGAACGATGTACTACCTAGCTGGGGAAGATTTCGGTAAGATTATAATTTATGGACGAACCAATCAGGTGTAAGATAACAGGTCTCAGATATTGACGAGAAATTCATTCAGCCATTTGATTAAATCGAGTCTTGGCAATATAGCTGATGTTAATTCGTGATGAAAACCCAAAATCTAATTCCTAACCTTAACCATTAACTGTAAATCATAATTGTAATTCCTTACACACAGGTTTATAACCTTCATTTAGTCCTATTTATTAGGTGGACAGTATCAAAGTCAGTCCAGCGTCACTCAAAGATCGTCTATAAATGATAGTTTCACCGAATTACGAGTTAGAGTAGGAAAATAATATCTAATTAGACAAGAATCTCTTATTGAATCATATAAGACTTCTCCAACATATAATATGTATCAGTAATAGGTATTCCTTCCAATTATACAGTTTGGATGCATAATAGATTTTTCTAAAAAAAAAAACAACATAATTTTAGGCACCAAATATTGCCAAATTTCACTTAAATCCTAACAACATATAAACTATCTTTCACCACACCTTTCTATTTGTCGCAACAACAACAATGAAGTGCCAACTTCATTTTGATTGGCTCACTCAAGGTCACCAGTATGGCGTACTTTAGATGCATGAATGTTAAATTGCCAATATCAGAAGGGGTTTAGTGGATATTATAGTAATTCCAATGGTTGAGATCATGAGTCAGTTGAAGTTAGATAACCATGGAAAACATGGAAACACTGGACGGCCGTTTCATCTTATTGTGGGACACCTTAGCAGTGCGCATCCACGATCTCGCCCCCCCCCGCGAGATTCTTACTAATAACCAATTAAAGCATTAGATGACAGACACATACGATAAGAAGAGAGTATACATGCATACAAAACGCACATAATGAATCATCAAGGTCACAAAATGACAAAGCTCGTAAGGTAAATATTAAAAATCTCTAACCAAAATAAGAATGGTACATTTAATGGCCAGATAAATATATAGACCACTCTGGTATTATGATAATAGCTGGCTATATAACTAAACCTAATTTATATACGAAGTGAATATTGGCTAATAATGGAATTCAGGACGCACGTTTCGTCCTATTTGGGACTCGTCAGATGCATGTTTGATTTCAATACGTTTTAATACGTTACTGTATATATGATTGTAATTTTGACTAGGGATTTATTTAATTTTAAACACTTAAATCTACCTATATATGTCTTCTGTGAATATATCTTACTGTAGTATCATCATAACATGTCAAATAATTAAAATGAGAAAGCGGTATCCTGGAGATTTTAGTAATTTTATAATTGAATTCATAAGTCATTAAAACTAAACCACCATGAAAAACGTAAAAGCACTAGACGACCGTTTCGTCCTACTATGAAACTCCTCAACAGTGCGTTTATACGATCCCGCCCGCGGGATTGAGACCACGGACGTATCGATCTCGCGCGCGAACGCTTAACCCTTAGATCACTGAGCCATCATACGATGGTGTTAATGTCTAAATTTAACCATGATATGAACAGGGAAACAAGAAGCCCTGACAAACTATGAAAGCTATTTTTCCGGACGTTGTTACATTTTATTCAAAGCTTGTAAAACAAAAAACATTTATTTTTGGCCCTAACCTATTCTACAGAACATAAGCTTTCGTTCGATGTATCATTCACTGTCATACCTTTTTCTGTTCCGAAGCTATTGTAATTTAAGCATATTATTTTGCACCCTATTTTCTACTCTAATTCCCAGCTTTGGACATAATTGCATTTTTCCTAATTATTGTACGTTGCGGTCGGGTTATTCACCTATTTATTCATGTACCTTTTTACACTAATCTGAAATCAGAGAAATCAGGATATCAGGAATAGATCGAGTAGTGTTCTAATTGTCTTGTCTTCACTCATTCGTGTGCTTGTCCACCAATCAATCAAGTGACAGAATAGTCTTCTTCACTCCACGCCATCTCGAACTCACGCGTACTAGTCTCAAAGTTAAGCCGATCAGCCTATCGCATCAAAGTCTAAATCTAGATTAGACAAGTATCTTCAGCACCAAAAAGTGGGTAGAAAAACCAATTCATTGCTGAGGAGTCCTATACTAGGACGAAACGGCCGTTCAGTGCTTCTAGGTTTTCCATGATGGTCTAAATTCAATTGACTCATAAATTCAACTAATAAACAATTAAAAGCAAATTAATTGAAAGTTATGAACTTTAAATGAAATCCTCCATGATCCTTTGAGTAATTATTGAAAACTTACTTTTAATTGTAAAAATGGAAAATATTTTGAATCCGTTCTTGGTGCTTCCAAAATTAGTTTAGCTAAATAATAATAATAATAATAATAATAATAATAATAATAATAATAATAATAGTAATTTTAATATTGCACTAATATAATTGTCTACTTCAACAATAGAATTGTACGCAGAGCTTAGATCTCCTGTACTCCTCTAATACATTGTAAAGAATATTTCACGATAAAGCTATCAAGGTGGATACCTATTTAGATCATGAAAGAATTCAGGTTTCATCAGTCAAATATCATCAAAATGTAACCTAACATGTATGTTGATCAAGGTGATGAAGATGACTTATGTGTTGGTGAGGTTGATGATTTCATTGTGAAGCTTTTCATGTCTTTTTTTTGTGTATTGAAATACTAACCAATACCATGTCCTAAATTCATCAATTAAAATTTCGATTATAAATTTTTTTGTTGTTTCACATCTATTGATTTGTTCACGATGAATTCTGACGTGAGCATGTAACGTTAGATCAACTTAAGCCTAGAAACCAAATAGAAGTCCGTAGTCAGCTTCTACTGGTAGTTTGTTCTGAATAACTTAGTTTTGATAGATTGTTGTTTGTACTTATTCTATCATTGTTTTCCGGTTATTTTCTTTCATTGGTCAAAAAACTGGATTGATTGACCGATAATTGACCTGAGTTTCAATCTTCTAAAAATTCCCTGACTTATGTATTCCGATTGTTAAAGATTTCTACGCAAAAGGATAACTAAACAAGACGATTAAATTGAACACAAGGGAAAATGAAGGCAAAGATAATCAATTATAATCAAACCTATCGAAGCGACTTTATATTACATTCATGAGATTATTTAGTCATTTATCTATTTGAACATATAAATAATGGTAAAATGGGGCATCAGATATATATGCGCAACACATGAACAGCGAATTTTCGGCGCTTTAACCCGACACGGTTAGTCAACCTAGGGGAGTTGGGAAATCCTGATTCAAAACCAATAGTGTACATGGACTCCTGTATCATGAGGGAGCAAATGGCGTATCAACCAATCGTTGGTCACCGGCTACCATGAAACTGAATCTCCTCACAATGCCTCACTAACTTGTGGGTCAGATCTTTAGGTCAAAGTCTCGGGGTGTAGCCTCTTAAGAGAACTACCTGATTCGGTCTGGGCACCTGGGCAGTATCCCAGCCCACACACAGATAAAATGAAATGACAATATTTACTAGAAATACTGTTTTTGTTCCATGAAATAACTAAAAAATTCAATTGTACTTGAACTAGGAACTGATGATTTTGTCCAAAATAACAATGAATGTTCAGTACGATTAAACATTTTAACCCAGATAAAGAAACTACATCACTGAAAGCATCCATTATGAAATGTGAATTATTGCCAACTTTATAACATACACTTATAGATCGATAAGTCCTGGGTTCCTGTCTCGTGAACCAAGATCGTGGATGCACATTGCTGACAAGTCCCATAATAGGACGAAACGGCCCTTCAATGCTTCCAGGTTTTCAGTGGTGGTCTAACATCAATCAATTCATGATCTCAATCAAAAGCTTAGTAATCTCTGCAACGTTATACTAATAATTATTTAATATTATCAGAAAGCATTGTGTGAAGATTTTAGAAACTTCACTGGTTGAAATCATGAATCCATTGAAGCTAGACCACCATGGAAAACCTAGAAGCACTGGACGGCCGTTTCGTCCTAGTATGGGACTCCTCAGCAGTGCGCATCCACGATCCCGCCCCCCGCGAGATTCGAACCCAGGACCTACCAGTCTCGCGCCAGGCGCTTAACCAACTAGACCACTGAGCCGGCATCCAACGGTGTAAATGTCTAACTTCAACCAATCCACGAAGTTGTGCCACCGTACACCATTGTCTTCAGTGAGCTGATATCTCACAACAGACCTGGTTCAACTCCACTGGTAACGGCTTCTCACTAGAACTTCAGGAGTATCTCTTGAAGTCAGTCACTAGTGAGCAGATGATTATTATTATCAGAAAGGATTGTGTGGAGATTTTAGAAATTTCATGAATCCATTGAAGCTAGACCACCATGGAAAACCTGGAAGTATTGGACGGCCATTTTGTCTCTCTCACGGGATTCGAACCTAGAACTCGCGCGCGAACGCTTGATTCCTAGACCACTGAAATGGTCGGGACTCAAAGATGTTAATGTCTAACTTTAGTTGTTCCATGGTGGTTTAGCTTCAATCAATTCATGAATTCAATTATTAAAATTACTATAATATCCACAAAAATCTCACTCTAATTATAGAGGTATTTAAGCTAAACAACTTACTTTGATAATTTGAACTGTTCAATAACCAGCATATTAAAGATTCCAATGGGAAATCCATGATAAACCAAACTAAACTTTTTAAACTATTTTTAATCAGTAGTAAAACCAATTGAACCTAAAAATTAAATGTTTTTTTTTGTTGAAAGAAAAAAAGATTGAGATTTGAGTTCACTAATTAATTTACCCCATAACTATTTCAAACAACAACATGTAACTATTAAGGTGAAGTGAATGTTAGCTGTAGAGGGATGAGGTAATATACTCAATAAGAGTGAATACTAGCATGTTTATCTTGTCCTGCAGTGTTAAATGAACTTTATCAAGTAAGTTGAAATTTCGTCTCTAGTTTGAATGGTTCGACATAACATGTACTATGACGAGATATTAACTCCACCTGGTGCCCCTCTAGGGCTACTGTCGGTCCCAAGCCCAGATAAAAGAGGAGGATTGGATATGAGATTAGCGACCCCATCCCGTAGAAAACTAACTGGATAAAAAAACGCTAACCGGAAAAAATAATAAGTAATGACTAGATATTAGGTAGCTGGAGGTAGTTAAAAGGAAACCCTAGATCTATGTTTCGTGCTACTTGATACTAGTTAGCAAAGTTTATCTACAACCATTTTATATTTATTTACCTTATTTAAGGACATAAAAATTGGTACAAGAAAGCACCAAATAGGTATGCACCACAAAATCATTAGATTTGTTTGAGGTTTGAAATACTGTCCGGATGCCCAAACCGAAAGAAGGTTTTCTTAGGGAGTCACTTCCGGAGCCTTTAGACCTGAAGGTTTAATCCACAAGGCAGTGGAGCAACGTAAGCAGATGTAGTCACATGGTAGCTGGTCACCGAAAGTTGAAGTAGGAAACCATGTTCATCGATAGAGAAACATATGTATATTTGAAACGGGGCACAAAATTGACATTAATACAGCATTTAAACCGTTGTATAGAAATTGTTAAGGATGAATTCTCAGGTTTATTGAAGCCTTGGCTATTCGTAGATTTACCCCCCACACACACACACATTTATGTGTACAAAAAACAATTTGTCGTAACTTAAATTCACTTGGTGTTGTTTTATTTGTATCTTCCCATTGTTATTTAGGACTGCAATTGATCAGTCTCTTGTTGACACATGTACATCCCGTGTGGATGGCCTTGATATAGACTTAAGGCATAAGCTTTTTCATAACCTTGAATTTACCCTAGTAATACTTAAGCCATTTTATGACCTAGGATAACGCGACAATTTCTTATTGTTTCTATACGATGTAAAATTGTTTCTCTCCCCTTTATTACCTTTTATATCTGAACTTTCATTTAATTGACCTTTATTAATTTTCGTATAAAAATGCTCTGACAAGAATATGTTTAACCAGATTGTTCGAAATGTATAGCGCAAATACATCACATTTATCAGATCAACTGCATCTTCTAGTAGCTCTATCAATACTATCTTCCAAGAATCAAGATTGGATGGTTTGATCGTAGATATAATCATTATTCTTCAAGCGAGGGTTATCAGGACAAACTTCAGTTAAAAGTGAAGTATTAGAATCTCTCTACATTTGACTAAAACATTGTACTGACAACTTTGATGTTGATTGGTCACCATTGACGTTTAACCTGTCCCTATCTACCTCTTTATTTTGATTACATCTCCATTTGATTTATATTTACCCACAGTTTTCCAGTCGAATGTGTATATAAAAATGTCCATATGTATAGATATAAGCGAAGATATATTATGACGCTTAACTGTTAATTGATGATCGTGGACAAATGTAGGACAAAAGATTGGATTAAAGGAAGATACGATTAAAATCAAGTGACATAATAACAGATTGAGCATTAACAGTAAGCATTCGAAATTGGGCCCCCAAATGCCCTAGTACGGTCGAGTATAGGGAAAGTCCTTCTCCCTCTCCAAATGCTCTCACATGACCCCACGCGTATATAGTCCCTGCCAGGGAAGTCTTACTTACTACCTTTTCGTCGCATCACTGTTGTTTACGAAATTGACAGGACGAAAAGCGAATATCCGCTGTTTTAAGCTGGATGGTGAACACGGACTCTCCAGCTAAGGGAGTTGGAAAACCATGATTCCAAACCAATGGTGTACATGGACTCCAGTATCCTCAGGGAACAAATAGCATATGAACCAATTATTGGTCACCGGCTAGCATGGGACTGCATCTCCTTACGATGCTCTACTGCCTTGTAGATCAGACCTTTAGGTCAAAAAACTCCAGGTGTGGCCCCCTAAGTAAACCACCTGCTTCGGTTTGGGCAACTCGGCAGTATCACAGCCCTCATACAAATCAAATGAGATTTGTGTGGTGCATATGTATCTGGTGCTCCCTTGTACTAAACCGAAGTTTATCTTGATGATACCAATCAAAAGTATGATGAATGCTCTACAACTAAACTATCTAGCTCAAAGAACAAAACTACACCAAAATCATCTCTATCAACTTAATACAACTATATATATATAATGTTCACTTACAGATGCAAATGTAATGTAAAATGCTATTGTTGTAGTAAATAAACACAATCCAATAGCAAGACCCAATAAAGTAGAAACTAATAAACGATCCAAGTATAATCCACATGTTTGTTTAGTCAATTGCTCACATAGAATAATATCAGAATCTTTTTTATGGGAAATAAATTTATACAGTACATTATTTTGTCTCACAATTGACGTTCCTGGTTCTTGTTTTTGATAGTGATTTTTATCATTGAAAAATCCTGATGTAGTAGCTGTCGGTAACATTGTCGGTGATGATGGAGATGACGATGATGAAATTTTCTTCTGTAATGAACTAACTGATAAGAAAAATTCATTAGCATCAAGATACATATCTGGTATTTTATCAACACGATTACGTAACGGGTTCCATTTAGAAATATTACGACATAAACGCCATGAAGCTGATATTGTTTTCAATTGTAAACGAAGTAAACTATAACAAAAGTTAATAAGAAGGTGATTCATATGAGAAGAATGTAACATTAATACATATACATATAGAATATGCAAGCGGATATTTTTGGTGACAGCAAGTGATTATATCTAGCTAATTACATTGATGTAGTGGGGACGAGATGTAAACCTTAGATACAATCACTGAAGAGCATACACAAATATTGACTTTTTTGTTAAGAGAGAAATGTGGCGAATATGTTTGAGACCAATTTTTATCCATATCGTCTAGAAACCATTGAATCACTCATTTCCAAAAATCCAATGAAGGCATTCATAGAGAAGCTTACATAGGACCGGCCTTAAAAGGTTATTCCTTGGGATCTACGGTCACGCTTCTAGGTCGCTGAGATCACCACCACTCCATTTTTTCTCCAGGCCTGCCAAGAAGAACTATATTTCAACGGTGTTGGCAACGGGGAAGCAACATACCAGCTCATGCCTCTAACAGCTATCTATCTATCTATGGTACACATAAATATTGGTACAAGGAGGCACCAAATACATATGCGCCACACAGATCTCATTTGATATGTGTGAGGGCTGTGATACTGCCAGGGTGCCCAAACCGAAGCAGGTAACAGCGCTCGGGATCATCCTGGTAACAATTAAATCCCATTACTAACAAGAGTCTAAAGCGATATTGTCGCGAACATATTACTATTAAGTCACTACTGTATCAGATCCTCATATTTTACATTTTTTAAACCTTAACTGATTTCCACTATAGTGTGACTGTCGGATGGTACTGTTGTTTCTTTTTTTCGCCGTCACCGTCAAAAATCATCTCGTTTCAAAGTAGACTGACTATGCAAGTCAAGAGAGATTTTCGGTATAACCTACCGGAAACTAATCTCTATATAACACAAATATTGAGTACTGGTATAGTACTCATTTCAATTAAAGTAGGATTTAACAGATCCAAGATGATGGGTACTTACTTTGGATACTTCAACTGTGCACGGTCTTTAAATTTCTCAAGGAACACGATGTCTAATAATGACTGAATTATGTCGAGTAATTAATAAATAATAACTCAAATTCACAGCCTGCATCACTGACTACTTTTACTAGGACAATCAGGAAGCACTAGACAGCTGTTTCGTTTTGGCTTGGGGGACTCCTCGGACACTGTTATCTACAACTACCTCGAGGATCGAACCCAGGATCATTTGGTCTCGCGGTAAGCGCTTAACCTTCAGACCACTGACCGGGTATGCAATAATCTACATGCCTGATTCTAATCAATTTGCCATATTGAGCAACGATTTTTAATCCTATTGACCAGTAACTGTCATTATAGAACCATTGATGGGGTTTTTTAAGGAGTACTCCAAGAACTAGAATGAATTAGATTTTCAGTATTGCTTGAATTCCATCAATTCATCGTGAAGAATAATTGTCACAAGAATTTTGTGTTTTTTTCGAAAACCAACTTCGAAATAAACGGAAAATAAGCAAAAATGGTGGCCAGAAGCAGAATCCAGGACGCACACTTCATCCTATTTAGGACTCGTCCGATTGATATACCTGCACTCCATAGTTAATGTTCACTCAAGGACTTGAACCCAGTACTGTTTGTCTCAAATTTCATCAAGTAATCCACTTAACTACTAAGTGCAGGTAGCCACTAACCTACATATTGGGATGAAGTTTAATACATTTTTATATTGGTTATTTGAATCTTGGGTCACATTCCTAAAGTTGAAGAAAATATGCGACTCAAAACAACTGTTAACCGACATCCAAGTCATAATCTTCGATAAGAACGTCAAGACAGTTCTACTACTGTACGGGGCTGAAACTTCCAGAACTACTACAACCATCATCAAGAAGGTACGAGTATTTATAGACAACTGTCTACGCAAGATACTCAACATCCATTAGCCGGATACCATCAGCAACAGCCTTCTGTGGGAGAGGACATACCAGCTTCCAGCTAACGAGGAAATTCGGAAAGGACGATGGAAATGGATAGGACATACATTACGCAAATCACCAAACTGCATCACGAGGCAAGCCCTGACTTGCAATCCGGAAGGAGAGCAGAAAAGAAGAAGGCCAAAGAACACATTACGTCCAAAAATAGAAGCAGAAATGAAAAGGATGAATAACAACTGGAAAGAGCTGGAAATGATTGCCCAGGACAGGGTTGGATGGAGAATGCTGGTGGGCGGCCTATGCTCCTCCCCGAGGAGTAACAGGCGTATGTAAGTAAGTATTTGGATATTTCCATAAACATTGAAGACTGCAATTGATCAGTCTATTATAGGCATATATGCACCTCGTGCAGATTGCTTTGACATTACCTGCCTTTAAACAACCAATACAAAAATGAATTGAATAAGAAAAATACTTTCTTTTAAAAAAGAAAAAAACAGAACAAAACAAAACTTAATAGTTGAATTCAGAAGTCAGTCGAAACTAAGCCACCATGGAAAACTTGGAAGCATTGGACAGCGGTTTCGTTCTAGTATGGCACTCCTCAGCAGTGCTCATCCACTATCCCGCCTCGTGAGATTTAAACTCAGGACCTATCGGTCTATTGTTATATCTGATGCTTAGATTCTTGTTATACTGCGTACAACTTGACCAAATCGAACGCTATAACCCTTCAAGTCGCAAATGAGAAGACGATTGAAAGGAATGATATTTCAATACAGTGTCAATTATGGTACAAAACTGTCAAGTATTTGCAGTTTTTAGTAAAAACGAAATCATCATTATAGTCCTCCAACCCGCACACATGGGGTTATTAGCATTGTCCAATCGAGAAGCTACATGTAGAGATTCTAGGATATTCCTCCAAAAGGTGATTGGGTCGAATATCTTCGGCTATTTCTGAGCTTCTTACAGCTTCCTCGAGTTCACCCGCGAACTGTCCTTATAGTAACTCATTGAAGACAAAGGCGAGCGGTGGCACGATTTCGTAGATTAGTTGAAGTTGGACATTAACATAGTTGGATGCTGACTGGCTCAGTAGCTTAAAGGTTAAGCGTCCGCATGCGAGACCGAGTCCTACGCGAGGGATCGTGGATACGCACTACTAAGGAGTCCCACAGTAGGATGAAACAGTCACCCAGTACCTCCAGGCTTTTCATGGTAGTCTAACTTCAATTGACTCATGAATTCAACTATTAAAATTACTACAGAAAACCCCTTTTTCGACAAAACAAAATTATGGGTCAATTGAAGCTAGACCACCATGGAAAACCTGGAAGCTCTGGATAGCTGTTTCGATTGTCCCTACTTGTGTTCTTGTTCACTACATACATGCCCCCAAATGCTCTGGTAAGGCTGAGAATGGGAAGAGTCCGATTTCCCTCTCGAAATGCTCTCACATGGCCACGCATATAAAGCCTCTGCCACGGAAGTCCTACACACTATCTTCTCGTGGCGGGGGTGTTGTTTACGAAATTGAGAGAACGAAAAGCGAATGTCCGGCGCTTTAACCGAATCGGAGGAGACGGAGAGTTCATCTAGGGGAGTTGGGAAACCCTGATTTCAAAATCAGTGGTGCACATGGGCTCCAGGATCCCAAATGAACAAATAGCGTATGAGCCAATTATTGGTCACCGGCTACCATGAAGCTGCATCTCCATACGATGCTCTACTGCCTTGTAGATCAGACCTTTAGGTCAAAAACTCCAGGTGTGGCCTCCTAATAAAACCACCTACTTCAGTTTGAGCACCCGGGCAGAATTACAGCTCTCATACAAATTAAGTGAAGTTTGTGTGGCGCAAATGTATCTGGTACCTCTAGTATGAGATTCCTCAGCGGTGCTCATCCACGATAACATCCGCCTACCCCCTATGAGATTCAAACTCAGAACCTATCAGTTTTTCATGGTGATCTATTTTTAATTGATTTATGATTTCAATTATTGAAATTACTAAAAATGTTCACAAAACCCCTCTCTGATGAAACAAAATTAACAAAAGGCAATATTTCCAATAATTGAGATCATGAATCAATTGAAGCTAGACCACCATGGAAAACCTGGAAGCACTGAAAGGTCATTTCATCGTATTTTAGGACTCTTCAGCAGTGCTCACTCACAACCCCACTCGCGGGATTCAAACCCAGAACCTATCAACCGGGTCAGTTGTAAGATAGTAACTTAATGATGACAATGGTGGATGTGTCGTTCAATTTCATGAATTAATTGAAGTTAAACATGAACACGATTGAATGCCGTCTCAATCATCTAATTGGTTAAGCGCCTTGCACGAAACTGACAAGTCCTGAATTCGAATCTCACTGAAGGTGGCTGGGTCGTGGATACGTACTGACATGGAAGAGTCCCACATGAAGACAAAACGGCTGTCCAATGCTTCCAAGTTTACCCTAGTAATCTAGACTCAATTGACTCATGATTTTAATTATTGAAATTATTAAAATCTCTACAAAACCCATCTTCTGTTTCTAAAAGACAATATATAAACTTACTGTGTAGCATATATATAAAAGCTTGTTAAATGTAATGTAGTCAATTCAATAGTATCTAATAATAAACAAATTAATAAACTAAATACTAAACGTATGATTGTTGATATATAAATAATAAACATTCTCAATAAAGATCCAATATGATAATAATACTCATAATAATAATAATAAGGATATGGTTTATATTTATATATAGATACTATTGTTACTAAGTAAATTGTACTGATTAATAAACATATGATAGTTATAATATTGATTAAAATGTAATGATTATAATTATGATTATAATTATTCAATGAATCAATTCCAGTAAATTGTTTTAATTGATTAATTAAATAAATTAATAAATAAATAATAAATGTTACATATGAACGCCATGCTAATATATGATATAAAAAAAATTGTCCCATTAAATAGGATAAATGAATATTGATTTTTAAACCAGCTGGTTTACCCTGTTCAAGCCATAATAGAAGACGTGTTAATTCACATGTGAAATACTAAAGAAAAAGAAAAAGAAAAAAAAAGAAAAAGAAAAATGATAATAATAATAATAATGAAAGTAATAATTAAGTTTTGAATAGTTGAATTTATGGGTGAATTGAAGTTAGACTATTATAAATAATAAAAAAAAAACAACCTGAAAGCATTGGATGATTGTTTTTATCACTGGGTGGTGACTAATGTCATGCGTGTCTAGTCTTTATTATTAGTGCAGATCGAATGCTATAGATCATGTTGGTCACTACCCAGTGATCAATCAATTAGGATTACATTACATTTTTACAAGAGGTCGGTCGTGGTCCGGATAGATCAGTGGTAACGTCTCTGACTGTGAAGCTGAATGACACGGGATCAAATCCGTCAGAGAGCATCAGTTCCCTCAAGATTACAGGTACACCTTGCTGAAGAGTGCCAAGTAGCACGAAAATCGGGTCCAGGGTTTCCTGTCGACTACCTCCAACCACCATCTACTCCTTAAGAGTGCATATACAGGATTCCGCCTCTTGAGATTCGAACTCAGGATGCATCAGTCTGGTACGCATGAACGTTTAACCTTTAGATTAATGGACTGATTGAAGTTAGACAATAACATCGTTCGAGACCGGGCTTGTTCAGTTGTCTAGAGTTTAGGTGTTCTCACGTAATACCGAATGTATTGTGGATGTGCACTGTTAAGAAATCCCATAATAGGACGAAATGTCCATAATAACCGTTGAAGCCTAGGGTAATAACCTCTAAGCCAGGGTACATTCAGTCCAGCACGAAGTCAGTTGCATGCATCATTATATATTTTTGGGTCATGATAATGATCCTTCCACAGGTTCACCTACGGAAACCTTGTTACGACTTTTACTTCCTCTAAATAGTTAAATTAGATCATTTCAGCATCAGTCAAGCAGCAAAGTCACTACAACGACACCAATCTAACGACCTCACTAAACCATTCAATCGGTGAGTGTACAAAGAGTAGGGACGTAATCAGCGCAAGCTTATGACTTGCACTTACCAGGAATTCCTCGTTCATAGGGAACAATTGCAAGCCCCGATCCAAATCACGACGGTGATGACCCAGTTTACCCAAGCCTTTTGGGTCAGGTTTCTAGACTCGCTAGCACCGTCATTGTAGCGCACATGTGTGTGGTTGTATAAATAAATATATATAACTATAACATTTAATGATAATTAGACCTCTTTATATCATTTTCTTCCCTGAACACAAAGAGACTGTTTAAAAGATTCATTGATAGAGACTCAAAAGACAATAAAAAAACTGCTGGTGTTCATTATCAATACTGCTTGATGTTAGCTTCGGATATTGATGAATACGGCTGCTCAGTAAAGATGTTTGAATACCCGTGAACTTTTGCAAATGCAAACTACAAATGAAAAGTAACCACTTAGACTGATCCTTCATCAGCGACTTTAAAATCAGAATCATTGACATATGAAATGCACCATACTAGAGCCTTTCAGAAAATTGTCAGTTTCGTCCATTATATGCTTTGAAACATCGTTACTGGGTATTTAATAATTGTTTTCATACTACAGGCTTATTGATTGAATAGTGTTATCAAAAGAGCGTTAAGATTAAATTAAAGTACTTAATTAGAATCCGCTAAGTCCAATTTTCAATGTAGAAGCAAAATCTTTCAAACACCATTCTAACATCACAGATATCATTGAAATCACGAACACATCTGGATTAGATAACAATCAAAAGCCTGGTATCACTAGACAGCGCTACATCTTAGTATGGAACTTCTCAAAAATAGGCATGCACCATTCACGCTTGCTCATGGATGCCGAGTCTGTAGACCATTGAACTGAGATTTAATAATGTAAAAGTCTAACTTCAATCAACCCACCAAACTTGTAAACTATTAGATCACGATTCAGTGATCTAAAGGTTAAACATTTGTGCATGAAACCAAGGGGTTCCGAGTTCAATTCCCGGTCACAGGGTTATGAAAACTTATTTCTAAAAAGTCTTATACAAGAACAAATCTACAGTCCACTACTTCCAAGGTTTAAGTAGTTATCTAATTTGAATCAATTCATGATTTCAATGAAATATAACAATCTCTACAATCTTATACTAACAATCAATCACATTAGATTGAAATATTGTAAAGAAAAGAAAGAAATATATGTATACATATATCGTTCATAATATACTCACTTCAACATAACGATAAAGTATATTCATTTGACAGTAATCTGTTGATGGTGATAGATAGTTCATTAATTCTTTTGTAGAATTATACAATATCAAAGATGAAGAAGACAAGGAAGATGAGGATGATGATGAGAGATTTGTTGATGATAATGTTAATGTATAATTTTCTTCATTTTTATCTAAATAAAATAAGCCTAATGTAGGAATAATTTTACAATTTAAATCATTCGGTAACCAACTACTACTAATAGCTGTATTAGTAGTAGTCGTAGTAGTAGTAGTAGTAGCAGTGTTATAATTTGATTGAATAGTATTACATGAAGAAAATTGACATGATGATTTATTTACATTAAGTGTACAGCATTCAAAATTACTATTATTATTACCAGTATGATGATGACTATGTGGTACTGTAATTAAACATAACATTAAAATTAATAATTGTATAGCACAAAATATAACTAGACTAGGATCTGGTACAAAATTTGACAATGATAACACTTTTGAATAGTGAATATATGACATAGAAGAATGATTTGTGGTACTGATGTTACTACTATTATCAATAGTAGTAGTAGTAGTAGTAGTATTAGTAGTAGTAGTATTGGATAACTTATTTAGACAATTTGTACAGAATGTAGATGATTTCTTTGACGTATCATATTGGTATTTAATTAATAATAACGTATAACTCATTTGAATTGTTTTGTTAAACAATTTGCTGAAAATCTGTAATATTATCTCAATGAAACGGGAATATTGCCGTGAAGATCTAGGGAGGGAAAGAAAAAAAAAACAAAATTTGATGATTAAAAAAATGTACAGTTTATTGAATGAACTAATATCAGAGCTAAGATAACAGTTAGTTGATCACTGCTAGAGAAGTCCTACTCACCGCTTCACTGATGGGGTGGTGTTCATGAAATTGAGAGGACAAAAAGCGAATGTCCAGCATTTTGACCGGGTTGGTGGGTATGGAGGATCCACCTAGGGGAGTTGGAAAACCATGATTCCAAACCAATGATGTACATGGTCTCCAGGATCCTGAAACAACAAATGGCGTATAAGCCTATTGTTGGTCACCGGTTACCATGAGACTGCATATCCTGACGTTGCTCCACTATCTTGTGGATCAAACCTTTAGGTCGAAGGCGCCAAGTGTGGCTCCCTAAGAGAATCACGTGCTTCGGTTTGCGTACCCGGACAGTATCCCAGAGCTCACACAAATCGAGTGATTTATGTGGCGCATATCTATTTGGTGCCTCCTTGTATCAATGTTTTTGTGTGATCTTAAAGTACAAATTTTTATAACTGAACGAATATTGTAGAAGCTGGAGCTACCGGAAACAGTTATCAAGTTATTATTACATATAATTTTATTCTGTATCTATTAAGTTGACGTTTTTAATTTATGATGCAATGCGGTCCAACATACTTGTATGTGAATCCAAGTCTGTTTGAACCATAGAAATAAGAGAAACTGGTTAGTGAATTTTTGAAGCCCAAGGAAGGGTATAGAGAAAAGCTAGAGGATATCGGACTGACAAGAGCTTAAGTGAGTTTGCCCAAGGTCGAAGGTACTGATCAAGTGTACACTGGGTCAGGTTTCGATCAACAGACCATGGAATAAATGGTAGACGAGGAATAGACAAAATTAGAATTCTGACTGGTCATTTTAAAACGTGATATTAGTCAGCGTCTTCTATACACAATACAACTCAGAAAGCGATGACAAATAGCATTTACCTTATTAGTGTAGTGAACAAGAACTCAAGTGACGAAAAGCAATTTACTGTTTAAAGCACAATCGCACAATAGTATAGCAAAGTGTGAAAAATATACATCAAATACATCATTTCCACATCATCTATGAATGGTCTCTCACAAGCTTCATTGTTCCTTTATTCCTATTTTTATCTTAATTCCTTTCAGTTTCCTTCTCCCTCCTTTTCATTCAGATCTTTCCGACCTTCTGCTCGCAAATATTGCGATTCCGACTGATGCTACACACTACTTATATCTGCAAACTTAATCAACATACACCACAGCATATTAAGCAAAGTAAGATACTAGTAAGATCTACTGATATTTAGTGATTAAGAAGCTTAAAATTGATAAACACAGAGAGACTAAAATGTAGAGATCATGATTTATACATTGTTAAAGGTTACCTCAAAGTCATTGAGGTTTCGAAGCACACAGCACTAACTGCAAGAGGATTCATCCCTTTGGGATGACACAGCACTCTTCAACTCACTTCCAGATCATTATTCCTAACATCTAACAAGCATTCACAACCTTCAATCATAGTGTAGACTGTAGATTATAATCCTGAAATGCCGTGACCAATGGAGTTCAATCTGTATTGGGTGTGAGACAGTTTATCCACCACAGGCAAATGATGAACGGTTGAACAAGATCATGGATTGATTGGAGTTATACATTAACACAATTGGATGCCAGTTCAGTGGTCTGGAGGTTAAGCGTCTGCGCATGAGCCTGAAGGTTTTAAATCAATTCCTGTGTGCAAATTCGTAAATGCGCGGGGGAGGGAAAATCATAATGAAGACGAAAAAAGAATAGTCAAAACTAAGAATGAAACGACCCAGTTGTAGGGGAGAAGGTAAAGGCCTTCGATTTTAGTGTTATGTCCATAGATTTTTCAGTTCCAATCACGAACTGATCATAGCTAAACTCCTAATAAAAACCTGGAAGTGGCATGGCCGTTTCATCCTAGTGTGAAACTCCTAAACGGTATCAACCCACAACTCTATTAACAGGAATCGAACTAAAGACCTTCAACCTTGGGCACGAACGTTTAACCTCCAGACCACTGAACCACCATCCAACGACATTGGTATCTTATTTTAAAACCGAAACACGATATTGCTCGACTCTTTACAACTCTCTGCGGTAGATATCTATCTCGCATCTGACATGGTTGAAATCCAACAGTTACGATTTCCAACTAGAACTTTAAGCGTGAGACCTATAGTCCTGGATTCGATTATAACTGATTTAGGTTGGAACGATTTATTTTCTAGCAAGAATATATGTATATAAGACTATGAAAGTTGCCATCGACGACATTCTGGAAACAGCTCTGATGGATGTAAGTAATGGTGGTGTGGATCTGTTGCCTGGAGAAAGACTTCTCGACCTTCAGTATGCGGATGATATTGTCTTACTGTGCGAGAATGCCCAAGCCATGCAATCCGCACTTAATCAGTTGGAAATCAATGTTCGTAGGTATGGTATGTGCTTTGCACCTTCGAAGTGCAAAGTACTTCTACAAGACTGGCAGGATTCTAATCCTGTACTCACTCTGGATGGTGAGCAGATAGAAGAAGTCGAAAAGTTCGGATCTACAACGCGTCGGTGAGAGCAGTTCTGCTCTATGCTTGTGAAACCTGGCCTCTCTAGACAACTTTGTGTGTTTGATCATCGTTGTCTCCGAAGGATTGCTGACATCCTGTGGCAACACCATGTCAGTAATGCAGAGGTTCGACATCGTGTGTTCAGGCACAGAGACGATAATACAATTGGTGGCACCATCTTGAAACACCGACTTCGGTGACTTGGACATGTTCTATGAATGTCGTTTCACAGAATTCCACGTCGTGCATTATTTGCCGACTCTGGGACTGGTTGGAAAAAGTGGAGAGATGATCAGTGTATGACATAGTGTCGTGGTATGAAAGAAAGCTGCAAAGGACTGGCTTCTGTTGGTCCTTCACGACTCCCTAGCTCGGGTTCGAGAGATGGTGTAACACAGTGGCTAGAAACATTATCAGATATGTCCCAGAATAGAAACCAGTGACAATCCTGCTGTAACCTTCTTTTACTTTCTTCATAAAATGTGGTTGTAACTTCCTTAACTGAAAGAATTCTTCTGATTGTACCTTTCTGTTTCTCTCATTATCATTATCATTATTATTACTACACTACCTTACACTAATTTATGGTTGCTATTGTTCTTTTTTTTTTCTTTCTTTTTACACCCACCTTACATGTGTTTATCTCTTTACATTCTCAGTGTTATTGTGTAACGGGCATATATATCTCTGGTTCCGCCTTGTACCAATATTGATGTGTCCAAACAAAATAAATAAATAAATAAATGAAAGTAACTTACTTTCTTTCATAATTCAATTGATTATAACAAAGTGTATTATAGTCTATTATAAATTGATTAGACCATAGTATAAGTGTACATAATGATTGACCAATTTCATTATTCATCATTGAATATAACCAATTATTCGAATCATTGAATATTAAATGATTATTATCATTATTATTATTATTATTCTTTTGAGAATAATATAATGTAGAATATTTCATAAGAATACCATGTTTTAATAATGATGGTAATTTATTCATATCAAGACTAATCCATATATAAGAATCATTGGTTAATAAAGGATAATAAGTTTTAATACATGAACTATAATGAGAGAGAGAAAGAGAAAAAAAAGAGAAAAGATAAGATAGAAATAAACTTATTTATCAAGAAAATAATCGACGAGATTATCATTTATTGAATGAACCAATCTAATTCATGATAACAGATCATGAGGTTTGGCACGAAATTCATTTATTTATTTGATTAAATAAAGTTTTGGCAATGATAGCTGATTTCACTAGTTGTAATCATGAGTCAATTGAAGCTAGATCATTATGGAAAATCTGAAAGTACTGGACGGCCGTTTCGTCCTAGTATGGGATAGACAGGATCCCGCCCGCCCCTGCGAGATTTCAACTAAGGACCTATTATTCTCGCGTGCGAGCGCTTAACCATTAGACCACTGAGCCAGTAGTTAACGGTGTTCATGTCTAACTTAAACTAATCCACAAAATTACGCCACCGTATACTATTGTCTTTAGTGAGCTGATATTTTACAACATACCTAGTCAGTTTGTCATTAAAAACCTATATCTGATTCCTAACCTTAACTCAAAACAACTTTCAACCAATATCAAAGTCAGAATCTTCAATACCAACGTCAAGGCAGTTCTACTGTACAGAGCTGAAACTTGGAGAACTACAACAACCACCATCAAGAAGGTACAGGTATTTATAAATAGCTGTCTACGCATGATACTCAACATCCATTGGCCGGATACAATCAGCAACAGACTTTTGTGGGAGAGAACCAACCAGCTTCCAGCTGAAGAGGAAATTAGGAAAAGACGATTGAAATGGATAGGACATACATTGAGGAAATCATCAAACTGCATTACAAGACAAGCGCTAACTTGGAATCCTGAAGGGAAGCGGAAAAGAGGAAGGCCAAAGAACACATTACGTCGGGAAATAGAAGCAGATATGAAAAGGATGAATAAGAACTGGAAAGAGCTTGAAAGGATTGCCCAGGACAGGGTTGGATGGAGAATGCTAGTGAGCGGCCTATGCTCCTTCACGAGGAGTAACAGGCGTAAGTAAGTAAGTAACCTTAACTATCAACTGTAAATCATTTGGTTCTGGTTATTAGGTGGAAGCTTTTAAGGTTAGTCTAGAGTCGTTCAAAGATCGTCCATAAATTACAATCTCGTCAAATGATCTTGTACAGATTTTGCAAAAACCTAGGAGAACTCTATGGGATACAATTAATCCATAACAATAAATAGCCTGACAAAACACAGTCAAATAACACAAACTGAAATAACTGATGATAATGAAAAAGATTAAACGTTGAGAGGAAATAAGATAGTATGTATGGAAAAAAACATAGGGACTCTATAACTGAAGGAAGACAACAGTATGACCAATTCTGAGCCATATCAACCAATATCTGCCATTTTATTTACTATTTATTTAAATTTCAATAGTTAAGATCATGAGTCAATTGAAGCTAGATCACCATGGAAAACCTGGAAGCACTAGATGGCTGTTTAGTCTTATTGTTGAATTCCTCATCAGTGCTCATCCACGATTCCGCCGTGAGAGATTCGAACCCAGGAACTATCGGTCTCGTGAGCAAACGCCTAACCTCTACATCACTGAGCTGGCATATTTATTTAAACACAAATTTTTGTACAAAGGAGACACCAAAATATATATGCGGAACCTCATAAAAATGAGATTGTGAAGAGGTAAATAAAAGAAAGTGAGTATAGTCTAAAATAAACAATAAATGAATGAAAATAAGTAAATGAGAGTAAAAAAATAACGGAAGTAGTAGGATAAATACAACCAGAAAGAATTCTTGCAGTTACAGCAGTTACTATTACTTTTATGAAGAAAGTAGAAGAACAGGACTGCCACTAACTCCTATTCTCAATTATGTTTGATAATGTCTCAAAGCAGTGTCGCACTATCTTTTAGACTCTAACCATGGAGTCGTAAGGGATCAACAGATGCTAGTTCTGTAAAACTTCCTTTCACACTAAAACACTTTGTCATATACTGACCACCTCTAAGCTTTTTCCAACCAGTCTTGCCATCAGAAAATAATAAACGATGTGGAATTCGCTGAGATAACATTCCTAAAACATGTCCAAGTCACCAAAGTCGGTGACACCGATTGAATCATCATCATCATCACCTCTGTCTTAGTGTTTTCCGACTCATTGAAAATTTTCATGAATATAATTTAATTTTAACACGACAATTAACTATTTGAATGATTAAATCCTACGTATACTTTGACTGATTTACTCTGTTTATACCGTACTTTTGACTTTAGAATCTACAAAAAAAAGATACATCCGTTTAACTTACTAATTGTTTCCATAAATGTAACATGCACACACACACACATCCTCATATACATACTTGTATTCTTCACATGATGAAGTCATTTGTTTACACAGTACATTATCTTCTGATCTTACTATGAATGAAATGAATATGATTGAATATGCTTTAGGTGTGGTTTTTTTGTTATTCATGTCGATATATATTCTTTGATTGACAAATTCGATCTCGATGATATCTACTTTGAAGATATTCGGATCAGTTTAGAGACTGAAATATTAGCATTATTTATATTTTTATCGATGAGATTATTAATAGAATATAATATTCAGATTTGACGTTACAATTCGTGGATTTAAAACATTAACTTGTAGGGTAGAAATACTCTCTACTTAACTCAGGTTTAGGCTATCGAGTAATTTGAATATTAACCTATGTATTAATCAGTCAGTCGGTCAGTCAGCAACAACGTAGAACTTCGTACGTACGTACATAAGTTCGAGCTGCCATACCACATTAGCATACAGATACAGTTATCGATTCAAATCCCGTAGTGGTAGAGATAGTAAGAGTATAAGCAGTAATCGGAAACAAATGTCCTACAATGCATGTGATGAAGAAAAAAATTATAAAGGTTGACTAATATAAAAGTGCTTTCAAATAAGGACTAATGATCATTATTTCCTGTAATGACAGCAACACCCATATATCTTTTTTATGATTTAAAAAACCGCTTAGAAATTAAAATGTGAACTTACCGATCAAATTTATACTTTTTAAGACTTTGAGCACAAATATGTAGATTATCATTAGATTGAATTTTTACACCTATCAACCAAAGGAAGGTAAAAGAATTTGGTTAAATTATAAACATTCATTAAGGAATAACAACCATTATGTCACGTCTATTGTATAAATCAATCATGGTTGAGACAATGACTCCAATGACTTACGTCGTTTAACGTAATATATAGTACTGACTACTGATCCAACTGTGATTGATTTCAATTATGATAGAATAATAAAGTATTTTCAGAATGTTGAACTGCTTAGATAGACGATATTATGTGGTTGTAGACACATAGTGACTAATAAAGAGCATGAAGATAAAGTCTTCAAATGATTATCTGTATATAAGATACACTAATCAAATTAGTCAGTAAAAGCGATGTATAAGAAAAGTTCATGTGATCAACTACTTGAAACACAACAAATACATTTTGTATTGTTTGTTTGAATCATCCCATTGATGTTAAGGACTGTTCTGGAGTGAACATCAACTTTGGCATGCATGTACATTTATTTATTTATTTAAACACATAAACATTGGTACAAGAAGGCACCAAATAGATATGCGTCATATAAATTACTCGATTTATGTGACGGCTGGGATACTGTCCGGGTGCCAAAACCGAAGCAGGTGGTTTACTTATATGGCCACACTCAGAGCCTTTGGTTAAAAGGTTTAATCCACAAGGCAGTGGAGCAACGTCAGGAGATGCATTACCATGGTGGCCGATGACCAATAATAGGTTCATCCGCCATATGTTTTCTCAGGATCATGGAGACCATGTACATCATTGGTTTGGAATCAGGGTTTTCCAACTCACGTAGATGAACTCTCCGCATCCACCAACCTGGTTAAAGCGTCGAGCATTCTCTTTTCGTCCTCTCGACTTCGTAAAAAGCACCCATACGACGAGAAGGCAGTGAGTAGAACTTCGCTGGCAGTGGTTGTATGCACGTGGCCATGTGAGGGCAGGAAGAACATGACAGTTGTTTTCTTAAAAAAATTAAATTAATTAATCCACCAAGTACTTGAATGTGAGAGGCACTCCAAGTTCGAGGACTAATAATACTACGTGCATGCCAAATCGAAAGTTATTAAGATGAGGCTCTCCAGTTGTATGCAATCGCGATCCCACCATGGACAGCGCCCAGGATCTTGATGTATCATCTCGAATATTTAGCCACGAGAATAACTGAGATAGCATCCAACTTTTCAGTGGCAACCCAAATGAAACTCATTTGTAGCAGATACCACCCATAAATTAAATCTATCTCCACAAAATCTCATAAATAAAAATAAAGCGACTTACAACAATAAGAGCATACTTCATTTTTCTCAGTGAATGAATCATAAAAGCCCAAAATCAGTACAACTTCCTTGTCATTTGATTGACTGCCATATATTTCAGGTATTTTATAACCAAGTGAGTAAAAATCGGTGATATTTGAAAATTTTGATTTTTGATTTTTCAGTAGACTGAGTTCAGTTAATTCAGAAGGAATAAACATAAAAGTTTTTCTCTTTGTTTTATCCATACATCGGCTGGTAATTCAAAAGGCAATTGTAAAAATGTAGAACAGGTAATGAGGAATCTTAAGATATAAACATAAAGGTTCTAGGATCATTTGAAAATTCATGTCGAACTTCAGTGGTTTTAAGACAATTGTTTTAATATGTTTAGTTGACGAGTCTTATGATACAAGAGATCCTTGGAAAATGTTTTGTTCGAATTCAAGAGTTCGTGAGTAGGATGAGCCGATACTCTTTCGTGTATGAGGGTCAAGAGATTCTCAACTCGTAATTAACCTCTTTAACATGTATTTATCAATTCACATTATTTCTGTGAACAGAAGTATACTAGTCACTCGATGAACATGTTGTCCATGAAGATAAAGAAACACTGAACAGCATGATTAATGAACGGTATCAGTTATTGCACGAGAGACCAATCACCTTGTCAGTATAGGGGACTTGTTCTTGTCATGAACTTCATATACAAAGTTTGACTTCACTAATGTATTTCATTCGCTCTTTTAATACTAAAAATCAGTCTTAGCCACTTTGTTAAGCTTTCGATCTAAACAGATCTACACTTTTTTCATCTCGTTCTTCAATTAAATTTCATTTTCAAAATTTACCTTATCATGGTGTGTGACCGAATTTCACAATTATTACCATCTATCTAGTTTGTATGGTATTTCATTTCAGCTTGAATAGGCCTTTAAATAATAATGATAATAATAACAGTTACTGTACACCTTTGCTTAACTGCCATTATTACATATCACTTCAAAAACATATAAATATTATTGTACATCTAAAAATGAATTTGTAAAGGAGAAATTTCATGTATGAATCACGTTCTTGTTTTTGACACTCAACAGGTTTTTGGTTCATCAAAAAAGATACTAAATGTATTGAGACTAAGAGTCATAAAATATGAGCGGATAAAGTAGGTAATAACAGAAGTGTTTCATACTGGATTAACTATTATAAAAAGGATTATCATAGTGAATTTTCTTGCGTTATTATTTCAAAACAATTTCAGAACTCGTACTATCCACAACACTGAATCGACAAAATATACAATGAATAATTCCATGATGGATTGCAACAGTGCACATCATAACTTCAAATACCGTTGGCAGCAGAGCAGTAATATGAAGTATCTTTGGTACCATTTACAGAATAAAACAAAATATCAAAATTCGTTAACTTTGTTGTCATTACGAAGCGGTTGTTTACAGACACTGTTTCGAAGACGGCGAGACTATAGTTTATGAACGAACCAATTAGATTTAGGATAACATGTCTTAGCTTTTGGCGAGGGATTCACTTGTCTATTTGGCCACATAGCATAAAGCTATTATAGTTAATGTCAGTTCGTGATGAAAATTCTAAATTAAATTCAGCGAGACTATAACTTATGGATGAACCAGTCCGATTCACTGTAACAGCCTGAATTTTGGCACAAAAGTCATCCATCCATTTGGTTAAATGAAGTTTTGGCATTATAGGTGATGTCTGTTCGTGATTGAAACCCTATATCTGACTCTTAAACCTAACCATTAACTGTAAGTATTAACCCTAACTCCCCACGCTGGTTTATAACCCTCATTTAGCCGTAGTATGTAAGTGGACAGTTTCAAGGTCTCTTTGGCGTCGCTAAAACGTCGTCTATAGATTATAGTCTCCCCGGTGAGTATTTTTAAAGTAATTTTAGCGTTGCTAAAAAGGCGTCCATAAATTATGGTCTCACCGGTTATTCATTAAAGAATGATGATAGATTCCCATCACCTTTGAAGCTTTAAAATATTAATTTATAAAATTCGTTGTAAGTCACTCAAATCTTTTTCTGAGATACGTTTCAGTTAAATCTACGAGAAAGAAGGTAGAAGAAACGGGACTTCTCCAAAGACTCACATATGTGGATCGAAGGCCGTTTGTAGATTGATTAAGAATGATGTTTAAAAGGTAGAGTATTAACCAAGTAACCTAATACTGAATAAAAACTGCCCGAAATCAAAGTACTAACATGTAGCGGTCTACCTCTAACCAGAAAGTACTTTAATTATTAGGGAAGAGTGAAGGCCAGTGAGAAAGACCAGAAAGTAGAACAAGGAAACGTTAGACAGCGTCTAACTAACTGTATGGGTCATGATAAAAGCAATCGATGCCAATAGGTAAAAACATGATATTAATGTAAATCGACGACTTACCGACAAAATATGTGGTTTCAAACTTGCCACAAACCTTGAACTTAAACTCAGCGCCCACTTCTTCAGCTTTATATGCTTTCGAAGAAGCACAACGGTCAGTTTCACTTTCAGTTTGGAAAGTCCAGGAGGCCGGGTGGCTTACGTTAGTCCCGGCAATGATTGTTTCTCGATTGATCCATATTTTTTTAAAGAGTCGATGTATTGAGCTTTAATTACGTGTTGAGGTGATGAATTCTATTCGTTGATGATTCAGTGAGAAAGTTGATAGTCAGTTTGAAAGTAATTTTTCTAGGCCGATGAACTTTTCGAGAGTTTTCCTCAAGTTCTGTGTTTTGGAATACAATTGATGGTATATCGGTTGCAAATTTATCACTGATTAAATTAAAAGCTGTAGCCAAGTCTTTTTTGGTTCGTCCATAGGACAAAGGAAATAGATTCAGCATCATACGGGAACTTAGCTGCTGTTAGTTGAACCCTTTTCAAAAGCTCACTGTCTCGTTTAATGTAGGTAGTAGCTGCTTGTATGCAGAACTGAAGTTAAGGGTGCAAGGTCAAGGTTTTAGCGTCGACATGCTTTCTGTCGTTCTCCATATATTGACATCGTCAGCATGTGACAAAACCGATGATAGTAGGAGACTGGGAATGTCATTAACATACAAGAGGAACAACACCGGTCCCAAACTGTAGCCTGAGGCACTCCGATAAGCAGCTTTTCAGCTAGACAACTTTGACTTCACCCATACACTTTGTTGACATCCAAGTAGGAAATTTTTTGTCCCCATCAATAAATTGACTCAAATCTCAATATTACTTAATTCATATAGCATTTGGTCTCAAGACACAGTATGTCTGAAGGGGATGGAAGGATTTCTGTGCGTTATTTACGTTGCTGAAGTAGTTTGAGAATACCTGAACACTATCATTGTCGTTCCCACCAATTATGAAGTACTATTGTCATCCCATAATATTGGAATAATTCCTCTCATCTAAGTCTTTTGATTTATGTACAAATATGAGCGTTTAAGGCATTCTATAGATTCCCCAACCAGTTTTTATTCATACAGCCTTTAAAACTTGCAGGCAGTCGAGGCAAAAATAGTAGGAATATCTGTAAAGGATCAGTTAGCACTCAATATTTTTCACTAAGATGTGGAATAAATTGTTACCTAATTGCATGCTTCTTTAAGGAGCCCGATATATTTGAAACATAGTAAATGCGTATTCGAATTCGCAATTACATGATGACTCGGCATGACAGATTGGAACGATTTTTCATGTATACTGATGCAAGGCTCAAATTTTTATATGACAGTTATAGGCACCATTGCAATCTTTGCGATTATATTGTATAGCAACTATCCATTTATGTATATTCTATACACATGTTTGCTTCTTTATTTCATTTTCTCTAAACTGCTCTTTGTTCACTTAGACTATAAATGAATCGAGGAAGCAGTACACTGGTCAAATGTGTTGTTACAGCTATAAATACTGCTAGATTTCTCGTCCATTTCATGCGGATTGTCTACCAAGCTGATTGTCTGAAATTTTGATTTCATGTAATCACAAACAACACTGGTTAAATGTAAAATGTTATAAGTTTAGCAGACGCTGTAACAAACCTGTACTTCGCAGCTCGATGAGCAATGTATTATCTAGATTTTTAAACATTCTAATAGAAATGATAGGGTTGAGACGTTTTTAGTGCACAAGATGCTGTTTGGATAACCTGCAATGCTGTAAAACGACAATCGTTAGTTTCTAATAGCTTTTTTATACCATGTTCAAGATAACAAACTTCAATGAGCTCCGCTTCTACTTTACAAAGCTGATTGCTGGCTATTTAATGGCCTGTCGGACCATATTAACGCCACGAAAAGCCAATGCAGGTCGATCAATCATCGGCACGGTTTCACCTGGGCAAAAGTGACCACATCCCAACTCTATTTTCGTATGAAATATACAATCCTTGTAGTAAGAGTTTGCCTCTTCTCGAGCAACAGTAAGTAAGCCGTAGAGCCTGTAAACCATGTTAGAGAGATCAATCCACATGACTACCGCACGGTGTAATTTCAAGAGAAATCATATAAGCTAAGCAGCTACGCAATTTCATCTCAACTTCAGTAATTTGGAAGTGATTTCATCCCTCTGCCAGTTCGTATATATCATTTATATCATTGTTTTAACGGTGACGGTTATCATTAGTCTTTCTTTCCTTTACGACTGTGGTTCTCTTTGTACCTTCGTTATTGTCTGTTCTTTAGATCGACTGTCATGTTTTCAGTTTTGCAGAACACTATTTCGTGGTAGCAGCCACGTTGGTTCATCATGTTTGGATGTCTGACTTATATAACAGTGGTATTCAACAACCAGCAAACAAAACTGAATTCCTTGTTTTCCGACAGATTTTATCCTCGATGAGTAACCCTCGTGCTATTGATAGAAGAAACCAGACAAGTAGTGAATAGGCCTTTATTTAGATCTTTGGCAGTCGCGGTGGAGCGTAGGATTATCTGTTCAGACAAACAAAGCCTCTCAACGTTCAATAAAAGATAACAAAAGATATAAGGCCTATACAAAATAAGGAAGTGAATGAGTACTTGAACTATACTGTTTTGACATATGCATAGGTGTCTGAGTTCAACTCTTAACCAATCAACCTAACATGTCGCATTAGCTTCCCCTTAGAATCGACTTCCGTAGGAATGTCGCTTCGATTAACCTATCTTTCAAAAACATCTTAGTTCTGTTTCCGCAACCCAAGGAAGAATTATCAACTTGTTCACTGTTTGACTTCAAATCGCTGACGACTAACT